CTGGTGAACACTTTCACCTCCTGGGGACAGGGGTGCATAGCCAACAGAGGGCTCATCCACACTTCCACTTGTCCTGTGTCTAGAGCCAGTGTGGTGTAGTGGTTAAGAGTGGTGGACTTGTAATCTGGTGAACCGGGTTCGATTCCTCGCTTCTCCACATGCAGCTGCTGGGTGACCTTGGGCTAGTCCCACTTCTCTGAAGTCTCTCAGCCTCACTCACCTCACAGAGTGTTTGTTGTGAGGGAGGAAGGGAAAAGGAGATTGCTAGTCGCTTTGAGACTCCTTAGGGTAGTGATAAAGTGGGATATCAAATCCAAACTCTTCTTCTTCTAGAAAGCATGGGTCCAAGTGGTTTTCCACTTGGCCTGTGCTTTCTAGACTTGGGTCTGAGCAGTTATGCCTTTGCTCCCCCCCCCCCCGCCCTGGAAAACACATTCTTTAGCGCTAAATTGGAGCAAACAGAAAACACCATTGCTGTCCATCCCCATTCAGTGCTAAACTATGGGTTTTCCCAGGAGAAAGCAACGGGGCAAATGGAGGTGCAGGCAGTCCAGCTCTGTTTTCCTGCCCCATTGCTTCAATCACATTGTTCCACAAAGTTTGACCCCACCACCACCCCATCCCACTATTACTCATCAGCAAAGCTATCTTGGGGCTATCTGCCTGAACGCATGTGCTTCATTATGATGAAGGTTTTGATGCTTTGGGACTATACAGCTTGACTCACTAGATCTATGCCAGGGCAATCCTGATGAAATAAATCCTAGCTGGTTTTAATTGCTTGAGGTTTCAGCCAGCTAAATGAATAATGAATTGATTCCTTATCTGGGAGTAAGTTCTGGTGAATTCAGTGGGGCTTACTTCGCAACAGAAAGGCATGAAATGGCGCTGTACTTGTGCGTGAACTTGCTTATCTCTTCCTTCCCTGTGCATGATTAGAACTCGCCTCCTGTGCATGTCTAAAAGTTTTAGTATGAAAAGGTCCCCATTGCACACTCTGGCTACACTAAGGCTCCCAGCTATGGGTAATTTTACAGAGTGCATTTTGCATGAGGACCTTCAGCACCATTACCCAATAGAAAAGTGGGTGGGATTGGGATCAGGTTAGGATTCAGAGCACTCCAGTCCTACAAAGTTTGCACTGGTTCCTAATTTGCTTCCAAGTCTCATTCAGGATTACATTGGCATATAGAGGCCTAGAAAACTTGGGTCCAAAATACCGATGGGGCACCTCCTTCCTTGCAGGCAAGCTCTGGTGTTGAAGTCAGCTAGAGACGCCTTGCTGATACTGCCACTACCCATTGAGGTCTGCAGAATTATGGTATGGAGGCTTTTGGCTAATTGAATAATCTAGGGCCTTTTAAACTGGGGGAGGGGGGATTGTTTGTTACTATGGTGTATATTTGTGTGTTTTTATATTGTAAACTGCTCTTTGATCCTCGGATGAAGGGCACTAAAGAAATTTAATAAATAAACAAAGCAGCAGGGCCTTATCTGGTGTAGCTCCCAGGCTATGAAATACTCCACCACCACCACAGGGCACTTCTGTGCTTTAGCTTCTGTGCAATTGCTTAAGACTAGGGGTGGACAGATCGATCAACTTTTGTTTCTCAATTTCCTTTTGTCTCTCCATTTTACCCCCACATCAGTTTTCTTGCCTGGAGAACTGAACTGCAAAATTCAAAGAGATGCAAATTTCAAAGGACGGCTGTGTTTCAGTTGGTTTACTGCTTCAGAAAATGGGAATTAGTCGGTCTTTTTAATGTGGACTGAAACAAACTCTCACCCCCAACCCCTAGACACCTTTTCCCCAGATCTTTGCTGTATGATTGAACGACACACAGATTCCCCTTCGTAGTATTGCAGTCATTGGCCGTTGTTTTAACTGATATTTTAATGTATTTTCTGTTACTTTGATAGGTATAAACCCTACCCTTAGCTTTGTAGGTGCACCACTCCATGCTGTAGAACATTATTCCAGCAGAGATTTAACAGACATTCTCGCTTTTCACTCCCAGGTATCCCTAGATAACTCTTTCATGCCAGGAGGCTGACGTAGTTGTTCAAAATTTTGTTGAGTAGGCAGCCATTTTAATGACTGTCCTGCATCGCTTTTATATTGCCTTTTTTCCTAAGTGTTTGACTATCATTGCACACACCACCTTGATATTTTATGAATGGGTGGTTTACATAAATACCTTTTATAATAAATAAATTCATGGCTAAGGGACTGAAGTCTTCCCCCTCAAAACCCACTGGGATGTGCATGTAAGAATAGCCTGCTGAATCAGGCTGGTGACCCAGCCTAAGTTGGTTGTTTTACTTTTAAGTGTCACAAACCAGATTCCTAGAAGCCCACATGCAGGACCTGAGCACAGCAGCACCACTCTCCCCGCCTGCAGTTTCCAGCAGCCGTTATTCAGAAACACAGTGCCTCCGACCTCACAAGCAGAAAATAGCCATTGCGGCTAGTAGTCGCCATTGATAGCCTCTATGAATTTGTCTGGTTCTCTTTAGAAGCTGTCCAAGCCCTTGCTGCCTCTTGGGGTGTGTGAATTGCACAGTTTAACGATGTGCCGTGCGAAGAAGTACAGTGGTACCTCAGGTTAAGAACTTAATTCGTTCTGGAGGGCCATTCTTAACCTGAAACCTGAAACTGTTCTTAACCTGAGGTACCACTTTAGCTAATGGGGCCTCCCACTGCCGCCACGCGATTTCTGTTCTCATCCTGAAGCAAAGTTCTTAACCTGAGGTACTATTTCTGGGTTAGCGGAGTCTGTAACCTGAAGCGTCTGTAACCCGAGGTACCACTGTACTTTGTCCGGAATCTTCCAGAATTCCGCTTCACTGGTTGTGACTGCAGAACGCCCCCCAAGGACAGGGTCAAGCACCCCTCTCAAGACTCCAAACCTGAGTCCACCTCCCACCCAAGCCACGCCACACAAGCCGCTGGCACCCAGGCGACTGAGGGCGTGAGCAGGGCACAACGTGAAATATACGAGTTGGGCCTGCTGCATGTCTCAAGAGCAGCTGCTCCGCTCCGTGTTTTGCGAGCTGTGAAGAAAAGAGGTGCAACGCATAGGCCTGCAGGAGGTGTGTGTGTGTGTGTGCCGATTCTTTGAAGGTGGGTGGCATGCCTGAATTAGACCTCCGCTACGGACAGCCCCATCGCTAGGGCTGTAATTGCAAGCAGGTGACCGTAGAGCTTTCATGTATTTTCATTAGCCTCCCAGACCCGGAAAAGCTGGCGTTGTCCCCTTATGGGACTCCGTGGGTTTAAATGCACCTTCCAGCTGGAGCCCAGGCACACAAGGCTAATTCACCAGGTCACAGGAAGTTTCCTTCGACTGATGCAAAAGGCCTAAGATGTGTTGATGCCTAAACTAGCACTTAACGGATAAACCCTCTCCTCCAACAGGAAGCTGCCTTACCACAAGTTGGACCAATGGTACATCAGCTGGAGTATTGTCTACATCACTTGCGGTAGTAGATCTCTGGCCCAGGGGCCAAAAGTGACCTTCCACATCTCTCTGGCCATGCTCCCTGCCAGCTCTGCTTTGCACCCTGCCTCGCATCTAGCCTGGCTGGACTTTGTCTTCGAACTCCGACAATGCCACTTGTTTGGTCTGAATATGTGTTTTTGTGTGTGTGAACTAACTTACTTTCTAAAGGCAAGATTTACATTTGCTGCCCCACCCACTTTTGTCTCTGGCTCCACCCACACTAGCATGTGGAACCCCTACCCACTGCCAAGGTGGTTGCCTAGAAGGGAAAGCTGAAAAATTTCCTTGCCCCGCTTTAAAATATAATCTGAAGCCTTATAGTACAGTGGACACTCGGGTTGCGAACGTGATTCATGCGTGAGGCATGTTCGCAACCTGCCGCACCTGCGCACATGTGGGTTGTGATTCAGTGCTTCTGCGCATGTGCGAAATGCGATTTAGCGCTTCTGCACATGCACAAGCACCGAAACCCGGAAGCAACCCATTCCAGTACTTCCGGGTTTCGGCGCGTCCGTAACCCAAAAAAACACAACCTGAAGCGTCTGTAACCCAAGGTATGACTGTATAATATATACGCTCACTGGGGTGTCAATCACACTGTGCTCAACTCATTTCCAAGTCAGCGTGAACAAGATCACAGCCGTATGAGATTGCAGTTGTACAGATCACTGCTCTTTGGCTGGTATGTCGGGACCTGCTAGTGAGTTATGGCCTTATCTAAGGTGGGTTGCAACAGGAGCACGACCAGCCTGCAAATGTAAGATTAAGAAATAGGGCTCCAAACGCTCGGTGGGTTGAAAGTGGGTCCTGAGTCTGAAAAGGCTGATACCTGGAACAGATGTTAACTCGGAACCCAGAGTTTTCAGTAGCACTTTCTGCCCGGTAAGCGTGCATAGGATTGCAGTTGATTTCTAGTAGGAGTATTGTGCAGCACCCAGAAAACTGCCCTTGGGGGTTGCTTTGTAGCCACTTTGAAGAGTTACAGAACTACATGTAAGGTGTACTCTCACTCCCAATGACAACAGTTAGAAGGGTATAGCTGCTCCCACTGGGCCACAAACAGGGTGATACAGCAACTCCCATATGGGGAAAGTTTACAAGATATGGGGCTTCCTAGACAATATGGTAAGAGGCGTATAAGATGTAGAGGAAGCAGACAGAAAAGGTTTTCTGCTTCTCTTGTGATACTAGAACGTCCAATGAAGCTGAACATTGGAAGACCCAGGACCAAAACTTTCTGTAAGAGGTAGTGATGGCCACCAAGCAAGATGGCTTTAAAGGAGACAAATTCACGGAGGATGAAGCTACCAGAGTCTACTAGCCACATCCCCACTGTTGAAAGAGAGCTGTTGAGTTCAGGTCCTGATTGCAAGCTTCTCAGAGGCCTCTGGTTGGCCACTGGAAGAACAGGACGATGGACTAGATGGGCCTTGGCCTGACCCAGCAGGTCCTTCTTATGTTCCCTTCACTCCAGGAGACAGAAAAATACCACCGACAGGTCCCGTGCCATTTTTAATAATAAAAAATCGCAGTAACAAAAGGGCAATCGATACAAAAGAGATGCTTTGGATATGGCACGGATCTCAAATATGCCAGCTTTTCTTTTTCTCCTTTGGTTCCACGGCATCATGTTCCCCTGTTCCCTTCCGTCAGTTATTATTCTTATTTTCTTTTCTTTTTTAAAAAAAGTGTGAAGCTTGGTGATCAGCTTGACTGGTGTTTGGCAAGAGAGTTCACTTTTGTTTCTGGAGCACATCCCGTTGCAGCTTCATTTATTCCTCCCGCTGTGAACAAGGGGAGCGGGCAACAAAACCAACCGCCTCCGGCAAGGCTCTCCCTGTTGCCTCGATGGTTTCCTCCGGTCACGTGGGTCTCCATCAAAATTCTTTAAAGCTGCAAGGGCAAAGAGAGGCATTAGAAAGGTCATCCTGGTGGACACCCCAATGCAGGCGGGGGGGGGTACCCTTTCAAGGGCCGGCACATTTAAAGGAAGAGCGATAAGAGACAGATTTTTCAGAAGGCTTCCAAGCTAAAGCAGTTCCTGTTGCATTCTCTCTGGCTTGGGCACAGTCCTTGGGTGAGACATATTGGACATTTGGATTTCTTTTACAGCTGCTAGATTTATTTGGCAATCGGAGTCTGTGGTTTTTGCTTCACAGTTGTACCTTGGATCCCGAACGCCTTGCGAGTCGAACGTTTTGGCTCCCAAAAGCCGCAAATCTGGAAGTGAGTGTTCCGGTTTGCAAACGTTCTTTGAAACCCAAACGTTTGACGTGGCTTCCGATTGGCTGCTCCTCCAGCCAATTGGAAGCCGTGCCTTGGTTTCCGAACGCTTTGGAAGTCGAACGGACTTCCGAGGTACCACTGTATTTTGTTTTAATCTTATTGTTTCATTTTGGTTGTAGGCTGCATATATTTCAACCCTGGTGCCTTTGGGTGGATGAGAAATGCTTTTTGATAAATAATTTATAAAATTATCATTATAGATCACATACATCAAGCTTCTGCAAGTTGTGATCCTTACATAGCCCAAATGTCACAGAATGCATTAAAAAGGAAGTATTGGAAGACTTGGGGGGAACATTTGAAGTAGTTTTTTTAAAAAAGTAACCAACCCCACTTGAAGCAGGGGTAGGTTGGGGCACCGAAAATTGGCCCAATAGGAATTGAGCATCCTCATTGGGTACAGGATGCTAAATATCTGGTATGCGTTTGTGTAATACAGATCTGGAGGCTAGTGGTGAAATGGGAAAGGGCATGGCTGGCAGAAGAACAGGTGCTCCGCACACTGCAACAATTTGTTGCAGCTCATAATAATAGTAGTAGCAATAATAATAATAATAATAATAATAATAATACTGTGATGACCTAGACCAGTGGTTCCCAATTAGCTAATTACTGAGGACCCCCTATTTTTCAAAAGCCAAACCACAGACCCCCTACTTTTGACAATTTTGATTACTCTGCGGCAGTTACCTCTACAAAGTAATTTTTCCGAACAAAATGTAGGGTAGCCCCTAATAAGCAAGGGATTTTAGGTATACTAAAAACAGACCATAAAATTTGTGATATTAGCCTGCAAAAAAAATGACAAAAATTTAGTTGGGGGGAGGCAAGGGACGGGACTGCAGACCCCCTGGGTGCGTTCCATGGACGCCCAGGGGTTCCTGGACCCCTAATTGGGAGCCACTGACCTAGACAGAAAGTTACCCTTAAGGACAGGCATCTATTGTGCATTTATGCCATTTGATGCCATATACCAGTCTGTATTTCCCATATACCAGTCTGTATTTAATCAGGATTTACATTTTCCATGCTAAGTTTTTTTAAATAAAAAAAAATAAGAAACACCTGTTGCCAGTGTCCTGTGTGCGAGATCTGAATTTGCATTCTGGAAGCACCCTCTGGATGAAAACTGGATTTAAATGCCCATCCACCAAGTTCATCTTGCAATATGAACCTATTTCTGTTCTTTCTGACCAAAGCTGGATGTCACCCAGCAGCAGATGGCTGCTCACAGTCATATTGCTGCTGGAGGGGCGAGAATGGCAGCTAGGTGCAAATGCATCAGCAGATAATCTTCAGTGGCGCATTTGCACTGCAATGACTTTGCTGCTGGTAAACATAAGTGCTGCAACCGACTGGAGGTCAAAGAAGGAGTGTTGCCCCACCAGGTTGCCCATTCCTGATGTCCCCAACTGCACCCCTTGCTCTAAGCCCATTCCTTCGTTTCAGGTTTAGAATTCAAGAGGAAGCAGGAGAAAAATCAGTCAAGAAGTTGGGAACAGAGGATCTTCAGAGGTGACCACAGAAATGCAAACTCACAAGAAAGAAGTGTGAAAACCCGTGGAAACTCCATGGATTGCTTAGGCTCTCTTGGCTCCTTATAAGTTCCCGTGAACACCAGCTCCACCACCAGAGTACAACAGCCTCGCTTATGCCAACAGAGGTGGCAAGAAGGCCAAGGAAGGAATGATGAAACCTTTGACCATGAGGTCCCAACGACAGCAGAAAGCAGGAGATGACCTACTAAGTAACACCAGGGGCTTGAGATGTAGACTTACCATGACTTATGGCCCCAGAACATGCCTACTCAAGAGTGATGTCTGACCTGTGAACACAATCGATATATAGTGGTACCAGGGTTCTTGGGAGAGTAGGTGGGAGAGGAAGAGCAGGTTTCATTACGTAACATGGCTTCATACTTTAAAACAGTGGTCATCAGGGCCTAGCTAGATGTTCCAAGGGACATTTAGCATCTCCCCTGGGGATCTCCCCAGCCATGTGGCACATGAGCTTACCAACTGAAGCCCTGATCTGGGTGCCCCTGCCTCTGTTAGTCGCATGGCCACCAGAAATAGGGCCTTTGTTGTAGTGGCTCCTGGTTATGGAATACCTTTAAGCCAGAAAGTGGGCCTTTGCTGTGGTGGCACCCCTAATTACGGAGCACTCTCCCAGATGCTTTCACCTGGTGCTTAGAGTGGTACCTCTGGTTACGAACTTAATTCATTCCAGAGGTCTGTTCTTAACCAGAAACTGTTCTTAACCTGAGGTACCACTTTAGCTAATGGGGCCTCCTGCTGCTGCCACGCCACCGGCGCGCAATTTCTGTTCTCATCCTGAAGCAAAGTTCTTAACCCGAGGTACTACTTCCGGGTTAGCAGAGTCTGTAACCTAAAGTGTTTGTAACCTGAGGTACCACTGTATTGCTCTATCTTTAGGCACTGGCTTAAATCTTCCCCATTTTTACTAAGCATTTTCCTATAACATGGGAATTGTTTTCTTTTTAATGGTTGCCTAATTAGGCTGCCTAATTTTCTTTCGCTTATAATGTATGCTTTTTGTTTGTTTCAAAATCTATTTTTTATATTTTATCCTGGTTTGGTTTTAACATTCAAACACAAGTCCCCTTCAAATGTTGGAACTTCAGGGTAGGAATTGTTTGGAAATGTTTTGGCAGCAGGCTGGTCACTCCCTAGAGGGGGAGTCCAATGTTAGTCCTACTCAGAGTAAACTTACCAAATGAAGAGACGTGACTCAGGAGACTTATGGCCACATTCACACCATATATTTAAAGCAGTATCATGCCACTTTTTAACAGAGCTGGCTTTCTCCAGAGAAGCTTGGGAACTGAGGCTTCTTAAGGGAGCTGTTGGAGATCCCACTTCCCCTGCCAAAATGATAATTCCCAGAGCTGTTTAATAATCCATCCCTCTTCACAAGGAACTTTGGGAATTGTGGCTCCATGAGGGGAATAATACTAATACTAATAATAATTTATTATTTATATCCCTGCCCATCTGGCTGGGTTTCCCCAGCCACTCTGGGCGGCTTCCATCAAAATATTAAAATACAATAATTCATCAAACATTGAAAACTTCCCTGAACAGGGCTGCCTTCAGATGTCTTCTAAAAGTCAGATAGTTCTTTATTTCCTTGACATCTGATGGGAGGGTGTTCCACAGGGAGGGGGCCACTAACAAGAAGGCCCTCTGCCTGGCTCCCTGTAACCTCACTTCTCGCAGTGAGGGGACTGCCAGAAGGCCCTCGGCGCTGGACCTCAGTGTTTGGGCTGGACGATGGGGGTGGAGATGATCCTTCAGGTATACTGGGCCGAGGCCGTTTAGGGCTTTAAAGGTCAGCACCAACACTTTGAATTGTGCCCGGGGTCTCCTAACCCCACTCAACACCGCTGACAAACTACAGCTCACATAATTCATTTAAAGTGGTTTCACAGTGTTTTAAATGTATGCTGTGAACGTGGCCTATGCCTCCCATGATGGCTGTCTGTGCCTCCTTTTGGGGAGCTCATCTTTGAGAACCACTGCTTTAAAATACGGCCGTTCTTCTTTCTCAATCACGCACACCCCCAAATCAAAATTCTCAGTGATTTGTTAACAAGGTACAACTGGTTACGGGAGTATTGACAAATTGTGAAGACCAAGGCAATTATGTGGCTGCGCCGATGATTTCCTGGACATGATAGCCAAGATATGATTCCCCCCCCCCCAACTTGAAATTCATTTTGATTATAGCATTCAGGGGCATTAGTCAAGAAGTCCAGAGGGGGCATCTGTGGGTCCCACGGCATGACCATGTCTTGCAGAAACAGGAACCAAACATTTCAGTTCGATGTTGGCTAGGGCTCTGCAGTCTTAAATTTGAATATTCGTTTTAAAAATAGCACATATGGAAATGGCCAAATTATTGGAGGGAAATGCTCATCTCACCAACAATATAAACATAAGAACATAAGTTGAGCCCTCCTGGATCTTCTCATAGTGGCTGACCAGATGCCTATGGGAAACCTATAAGTAGGACCTGAGTGCAACAAGACTCTCTCATCTGGAAGTTTTCCAGAAAATGGTCTTCAGAAGCACACTGCCTCTGACCGTGAAGGCAAAGCATAGCCATCATGGCTGATATCTCCATGTTATTTCAGTTCTGTTTGGGACTCTGTTAGAACACTGTCCCTTTCTAGGCCATAAGCAAACTAAGATGATCCATGCTGGATCATAGCAAAATTCTATCTAGCTTAGCATCCTGCTTCCAACCAGATATTTCTGGGAAACCTACAAGCAGGGCATGAGGGCGGTGGCATTCTGCTACTGTTAGGTTCCGCAGCAACTGGTATAGTCAAACCTCGGTTGTCGAACGACATCCGTTCTGGAAGCCCATTTGGCTTCCAAAATGTTTGACAACTGAGGCACAGCTTCCAGTTGGTTGCAGGAGCTTCCTGCCCTCAAGCAGAAGCCGTGTTGGATATTCGGCTTCCGAAAAACATTCAAAAACCGGAGCATTTACTTCTGGGTTTTCGGCATTTGGGAGCCGAAGCATTCCAAAACGGAGGCGTTCAGGATCCGATGTTTGACTGTATTCAGATGCATGCAGTCTCCAATGATGAAGGCAGCCTATGGCCACCACAACTAGGACAGCCTTCAGATCCATGAATTCATCTAATCTCCCTTTAAAGCCATCCATATTGATGGCCACCATCATTGTGGTAGTGAACTTTCTAGTTTAACTATGTGCTGTGTGAAAAAGTACTTTCTTTGATCGGGCTGGGATCTCTACACAGCCTCGTTGGGATGGTTCTAGGTCATGCAACTTGTTCATCTTCTTTGTTTCCCACCCTGATCTACGTGTTTGAATCCCACTTGATCCACTTGAGATTATTGTGTTCAACCCAAGTTATAACTGGGTTTCTGATCCAGAAAGCTAGGACAATGCAGGTGAATTTGCTGCCCTAGACGCATCACACCTTTGCTCTGTTTAGGCAAACTTAAATCTCAAAGATAGGTAACAGAAACTGTGTTTTGCTACTGTGTTTTTGCCTCACAGATGCCCCGTGTGGGAAAGAGGGAAATCAAGAGAAAAATCATACCCTGAAATTTGCACACACACCCTGCTCCACTAGATGGGAAGAGAGAACCAATGGGCATACTCACACTGCAAACTATTTCATATCCAACACTACTGGTTCTGTTAATGCCACACAAGAGCTAGGAAGGCACATGGGGGAGAAGGTTGCTGTTAGTATTGGTTAAGGATTGGTGGGCATGTTAAGAGTGGTGGTGGTAGAGAAATTGTGGTTCATTCTATCATGACCAGAGCTCCACTTGACTCTTTGCAGGAGCAGTCAGTGAGAAGGGGCAATGCCACGCACTAAAGTCTCTGGGCAGTGACATCGCTGGTGCTTCCCAGGAGGGAAAGGGGCATCAGTGGAAATGCTGGATGGGCTCTGCCCATGTGCCCAAACAGTGCCAACTTTCCTGCTGCTCCAGTAACATCACTGCAGGGAGGTCAAGTGTGTGGCAGCACCGCTCCTGGTTCTTTGGGACCCTGGTTCATAAGCGTCCCTTTAGGTATCATCAGAGGTTGATGACTTTAGGTATGACTTTCATGGTGGAGTTTGATGCTTGTATCTTGGCACGATAAGTCAAGATATTAAACCAGCCTTTCGGCCAGGCAAAGTGATAGCAGGAAACAAACCACAAAGGCTTTCATTACCTAAAGTTTCCCATCTCATCTGAACTGGAGAACTATGGCGAACGCCTTCCAAACAGGCCAGGATATTAAGCTAACCTCAAATCATGGTTTAACATCCTGGGGCAGGCATGTCCAAAGTCCGTTTCGGGGGCCTAATCCAGCCCACGGGTTGGTTTAATCTGGCCCCTGTGGCAGCTTATTTCCTTGGGTAAAATCCAAAAAAAACCACCTCAACAACTTCAATCCTAAAAAAAGGACAACAACTTTGGTAGGCCCTTCAGTCGGCCCTCATGGCCCTTCACTTCATCATCAAATCTGGCCCTCTTTGAAAAAAGGTTGGGCACTGCTGTCCTGGGTCCCCCCCGCCCCGCCCCCAAAGCAGCTAACCACAGCTTGGTTTGGATGATCCAGAGAGCTACAGTGAAATGGGTGGCTTTCTCTTTTGTTTGCTCTTGCAAAGGGAAGAGCAGTTGGGTTGTTTGCGTGTGCAGGCAAAAGCCTTTTTCGTTTCTTGGCTTTTTAAGTGGAGATACCATGGTCTGAGCATGGTCAGAACATCTGCAGTCCAGAGGATTCCTGGCTCCTGCATGCATCCTCAGGGCTTCACATGTAGCCTTCCCTAGCAGAAACTCTACTGCTTAATTCTAATTTTTAGTTCCAAGAGCACAGGTTATGGAACATTTGTTGGGGGTGACTAACACACAGAAATCTGTGTGTTTCAAGCTATAATCCTTTGCATGCTTACCTGGGAATAAACCCCATTGAGCATAGCAGGACTCTTCCATGTACCGGACACATTCAGATCAACTGAAGATGGGAAGTAGGCAATCTGATAACGGGATGATCTGCAGTGCTGTTACAGATCTGTTACAGTGCTGGATCCACAACCACAGCTCTGTATCTACCTTAAATTTATTTTCTTTTTGCCGCCACCAGAATTTTTGTGTGTGTGAGACTAGGGGTTAGCCATTCCTGAAGTAAAACATGTGTTAAGATGGTTAAGCGCTCTTTTGAGAAGGAGAATTTTGAGAATGCTTTCAGTCTGTGCATGACTGCATTGCTATCCTGGATTTTCCAAACATGCTCCGTAGGGTTTACTCCACATATGCAGGTAAATCTGATACCACATCATCCAATTCCAGCATAGCAGGTCTCAGTAGAACATTTCAGAACAGAACGCCGCCATCTTGTTTTGCTTTGTGCACACTCAACTGGCCCAAGACGCCAGCATGTACTGGCAGGGGAATTCAACAGGGCTTCACTGACAGGCTGGTAAAACTTAAAATTCAAGGGAATCTGGGGGTTGGAATTTTTAAAGCACCAGTGAACCACAGGTCCCTGGAGTCATACATTCCAAAATATTCAGCCTCTGCAAACACCTACCCTCGTTTTCTTCCGCAGGAGCCGCACCACCCTCGTATTTCTTTGAACACCACACGTGAAAGGAACTGGAAGGGGAAGATATACTCAGAATTAATGATGGCAGTGGCAGTTTGGTGCATGCAGACAGCCCACCCAGTGTTTGTCCATGACGCTGCAATGATGTCTCTGTGCTAAAGACACCAGAAGCTGCCTTATACCTATTCAGACCCATTGGTCAATCCCACTCAAGCTTTCATCTGCTGCATGAAGGGACTGCTCCTGCTTGCCCCACCAAGCCACAATTGAATTCCATACTCAATGGTCACTATTGCCTACACCAGGCACCCCCAAACTCGGCCCTCCAGATGTTTTGGGACTACAATTCCCATCATCCCTGACCACTGGTCCTGTTAGCTAGGGATGATGGGAGTTGTAGTCCCAAAACATCTGGAGGGCTGAGTTTGGGGGTGCCTGGTCTACACAGACAGGCAGCAACTCTCCAGAGTTTCAGATGGGTGTCTTTCCAAGCCCCAACTGGAGATGACAAGGATTGAGCCTGGTAACTTCTGCAAAGCTCTACCACTGAGCTACGATCCTTCTTCAAAATTACACACAGACAAATGCAGCTGGAAAGGAAAGACCCCGTGATAAGTTTTCATATAGAGCTGCTATTTCTCCATTGGTCTACCTAGACCAGTACGGTCAATTCTTGACAGACAGCAGCTTTCCAGAATCTCATTTGTGGTTCTTTCTCAAGTCGCTGTCCTGAGATCCTTTTGACTGGAGGTGATGGGGAATGCAACCTGGGACCTCCTGCAAGCAAATCGTCTGCTCTACCACTGAGCTGCAGGTGGTTCCCAACTTAGGTCAGGATTGGTGTAGCAATATCAGCTGTTCTCAAGGGTTTACCCAACTGAGGTTAAATTTGGTAGGATTCACCCCTTAGCTAACAGCAGGGATGGAGACCTCTGGACTTTGTTCATCTCCATTCTCATCAACACCAGCTTGAATGGCCAACCATCAGGGATGAGGGGAGTTACAGGTCCCCAAAAAGTCCTACTCAGGTGAGACCCCTTGAAATGGACCTAAGTTAGTTGTGGCACAGGACAACTCTTGAGTAGGATTGGCACTGGATATAACCCATAGTCAATCATCATCTGGAGGGCCACCAGTTCCTGATCCCTTAGTTCACCATATCAAAAGTCTGTGCAGGCAGGGGCAATAAGGCGACATGTACGTCTCACAGAATCATTGGGTTAACAGAGGAACTGATGTGGAATGCTCTGCAAAAGGAAACTCACTAGGCAAGCCAGGAGATCGGCGGCCATCAACATGTAGAAGACATTGTCCCAGCCGGTGCGAGAGATCAAACCTGCCAGCAGGGGTCCAAGGGCAGCACCTGCAAAATGGGAAAAGAATGATGCAAAGAATCAGCAAGCAGCCAAGAGCGAAGCCCAGCTCATGGCTATAAGGCAGGTTCCTTCTAGCACAGATGGCGCAGAAAACCTATGTCTGCAAATCCTACATGGTGATGGAAGAAGACTCAGGAAGTCAGAGATGACCAACATGTACTCACGGATAACAACAAAAGACCTGCTGTGCTGGAACACAGCAAAGGTTCTTCTAGCCAGGACTATGCATCTAACAGGGCGGCAGCCATATACCCTGAGCTCACAAGAAGCGTATGGTGGCAAAAGCATTTGGTGATCTCTGAATGTGGGGGTTCTGTTTGTAGCTAACATGGCTGACTGCTGTTGACAGATTGACCATTTACAGCACTGGTTCTCAACCTGTGGGTCCCCAGATGTTGTTGGACTACAACTCCCATCATCCCTGAGCTCTGGCCTTGCTAGCTAGGGGTGATGGGAGTTGTAGTTCAACAACATCTGGGGACCCACAGGTTGAGAAAAGCTGATTTACAGCATGGGTAGGCAAACTAAGGCCCGGGGGTTGGATCCGACCCAACTGCCTTCTAAATCCGGCCCGCGTACGGTCCGGGAATCAGCGTGTTTTTACATGAGTAGAATATGTCCTTTTATTTAAAATGCACCTCTGGGTTATTTGTGGGGCCTGCCTGGTGTTTTTACATGAGTAGAATGTGTGCTTTTATTTAAAATGCATCTCTGGGTTATTTGTGGGGCATAGGAATTTGTTCATTCCCCCCCCTTCAAAATATAGTCCGGCCCCACACAAGGTCTGAGAGACAGTGGACCAGCCCCCTGTTGAAAAAGTTTGCTGACCCCTGATTTACAGGGGGTACAGAAGCAGGGGTGTGACCAGGAATGTTGGAGAGCCCTGCAGATTTGTCTAAGACATATAGGAGCACAGGAAACGGACTTCTACTGAACCAGCCATTGGGCCATCCAGCTCAGTGGGGTCCACAAGAGCAGGGGGCTACCCTTCCCCAACTCTCAGGGTGGGGGCACATGTCAAAGTTGGTGTGGCCATCTTTTAAAAAAGAAAAAGTTTACTTTGGGGGGGGGGTGACCCAAACCCTTTGGCATTGCAGAATCACAGTGGGGTAACTATGGGAGCAGTCAGCTTAAGAAGGTATTTTGATGATGATGATGATACTACTTTAAAAATCGCAGATTTGGGGAACCACAAAAAGTCTTTTGGCATTACAGTATTACAATGGGTGACCTAAGGAAACAATCAGTATAGCTCCGCCCAAGGCATGATGGAGAACAGCAAGAACCGGGAAAAGATAGACATAACATTTTACAAGGACAGGAAGAAACATCATGGACAGAATTATTGTCACACACAGGAAGAACAAGGATATAGTTTGATTGCCTCACTTGCAATTTTATAAATCATTTCATGTGTCAATACAAATGGAAGTTGTTAATACTGCAGTTGTTGTATAAGGCATTGTTATTTTGACCAGAGTGTAATTGAAGTTATTGAGATTTTGGAACGCATAAATAAAGTAAAACTTCAAACCAACAACTCTAGCATGTAGGGGGCCACCTAAATTATGTCATTTGGTATCTGAATGATTGGTATTAGTAATTGTGTTATTATTTGGCATTGTTATAATGAGGCTATTATTGGATTGTAATTGAAAACTAATAAAAAATATTATCAAATAGAAAAGAAAAGGAAGCCATCAGTATTTACTTTTTTAATGAAGTGAAAATAAAATATTTTGCCATCAGAGGAGCAATGAAGAAATAATAATAATAAAATAATAATAATAATAATAATAATAATAATAATAAATAATGATAATTTAAATATATGTATTTTGGGAAGCCTTGAGGAACCACAAAAACCTCTTTAGGGCAGACACACCTGCATGCAGATTTGCATCATATGGGTGAGCAATGTGGCAATTAGCCCCATCCCTTCTCAGGGCAGATTCAGAGCTGATATTGGCTGGGTTTGAGACAGAAGTGGGCCCCTGGTGTGAGACTAGTAGTCAGTTATCACCACATCTCCCTGGATAATGGTAACCTTTGGGGAAGAGGAAAAACCTCTGCCCCTCTGAGGCTTCGTACTACAAAATACTGGATGAGGCTCAAATTAACTCCTAGGCCAATTGTTGAGAAACTATGGCCCTCCAGGTGTTGCTGGACTGCAACTCCCATCATCCCTGGCCATTGGCCGTGCTGGCTGGGGCTGATGGGAGTTGTAGTTCAACAACACCTGGAGGGCCAAAGCTTCCACACTTGGCCTAAGCTTCTCAGCTACTGACCGACAGATCCCGTTCCATCAATGATGGCTGTAACGGTGGCAAGGGCCTTTGCGTTTCCTTGGAGACATTCGTGAGTGCCCTGGGGTGGAGAAGAAAAGGAGAAAAAACAAAGAAAGATTACAAGGTTAAAGGAAAATGTCACAAATGAACATTGCAAGGTTCCTGTTGCTCTGGAGGGCAGGACTGGAACCAGTTAGTGGGCGGAAAATTCAGGAAAGTGGATTTTAGTTGGCTATTAGGAGGTTTAGATGATGTGGTAAGCCAAACCATAGCTCAGTTCAGCAGAGCAGCAAAATGACTGGAGAATAATAATAATAATAATAATAATAATAATAAAGCAATCAAACATTAAAAACCTCCCTAAACTTAGTGCACACTTGTGCTACGTCATGGTTTGCTTTAGCAAGATATGTGTGAGCCAGGCCAGAGATCTAGGTTTTAATTGATTATTCCAAAATGAGTTAGTTTTGTTAAATTGTAAAGCTTTTAAAAGTATTTTCAAAACCAATTCAAATCATTTTAAGATTGTATGCATTGAAGGAAACATGTTGTATAAATATAATTGCAATGAACTTTTTTTTTGGGGGGGGGGGAGGGATTGCACTGAAAACGCTTCCCCTAGACAAGCCAACACTCAGTGCTCTTAGCCTGTGTTATTTTCCACTTTGTTCTAAAACCATCCTGACTAAATCTTTTTTTTCTTTCTTGTACACTAACAGCTGCCATGAGAGGAGAGGTTTGCCAAAGGCACAATTTTACAGTCAATTAAAAAAAAATATTTTTTTTCCAGAGTACCTGGAGAATGTGTAACTGATCTGTGCCAGATTAATTCAGATCTCTTCCAAGTTTTGAAGGCTGTGTGCTGGAAGGCAAGAGCTCTCCTCCTCCTACGGAGGCTCTCTCAGCCAAGGTGTTATGTTTACACTCCGTGGAAAGAATTTCCTATTCTATTGCCCAAAGAAGAAAACTGCTGTGCTGTGCGTCTGCGTGTTGAATCCTGTTCTAGGAGTGAGTTCAAGGCCAGAAAGGCTCAAGTCACATGAATGCCCTTAATTGATGAATAAGAAATGTTTGCAAGGGACGAGCCTCAGAGAAGAAAATCAACTGCTTCAGACAATCGGATCTGGGTTATAGCTCGGCAAGGTGTTCGTTAGCTATAATTTAATATCCTGGCTGATTCAGAAGCTGGTAACCATAGTTTCCCAGTTTCGATGAAACAGGAAATTAGAGGCTTCTCGGTTTAAGCACGGATCCTGACTAATGTCCAAATGTGGGGCCGCTGAGTTGTCTGGGAGCCAAGCCGGGTTGTTAACTCAAAAGGCCTCTGGAGCATAGCTGTCAAGCGTCCCTTAATTGGAGGGACAGTCCCTTATCCCAGCGCCATGTCCCGCTGCTGTCCCTTATTGATGGATGTCCCTTACATTTCGCGGGTTTTAAAGGAAGCAGCTCCTCTCCCTCCCTCCCTGGCGGCCAGGGAGCACCCACTCCCACTAGGCTGTACTGCGGCTGTGCCGCCGAAGGACCCGGAAGAGATGGGCAGCCTGGCGTGGCCTATGAATTGACGAGGAGCCTTGAGAGGAGAGCGAGGGCAGCCATAGAGAAAGCAGTTCAGAGAGTTCAGAGAGAGGAGGAAGAGGAGGAGGCGGAGGCGCGGGCAGGTGTTCCAAGGGCTACAAGGGAAGGACCGCAAGCGCTTCTCCCATAGATTTGTAGTTGTAGACTAGCATAGATGGTCTGATCTGTGAGTTTACTTCGGGCGCTATTTCCCCCCCCCTTCCTCCCACCCCACCTGATGGAATTGAGAGCTGCAGATGGAGCACGAGAGAAAAGATACAGAACTGCAGCAGCATCTTTGTAGCTTGGACTTCGTTTTGTGCGAAAAGTGGTTGCTGCTTGTAGTTATTTAATTGCAGTGTTTCATCGGTTGGTGTCTTGTGCAGCAACCTCTGGAAACGAAGGGCTAAAAACCGGAGCTGCTCTCCAAAATTATCTGGTCCCTTTTAACTTTGTATTTCAGCTGGTTGACTAAAATCCCTTATTTTGGCTGCTGGTCCCTTATTTTCAAGGCTGCTGGTCCCTTATTTTCAAATCTGTAAGTTGACAGCTATGCTCTGGAGTGAACATTTTTGTTTCCCAGTGAATAACAAGAACTTCTGGGGGCGATTCTTACCAAGTCCGCCGACACCGCAGTTGTGATGAGAGCGTATGGCCCGTTGACAAGGGCGCCGCAGATAATTAACATCACTACAGAGAGAAAGAAAGAACAAACATCAGCCACGTCACCTTGCCATCTCGATTTATTTGCTTCCATTTACGAATCACTTTGCTACGAACTATCCCAAAGCAATTTTAAGTCAATGAAAAAAGCTCATTGGAAACAATGGCTGTAGCTCCCTGGGGGAGCACCTGCTCTGCAGAGTGGAAAGTGACACTCAAATCACTATCGTACCGCCAGCTCCAGATAGCCTGGCAATATATTCAGAGAACATTTATTTCCCTGCACAAAACTGAATCAAGAACAGCAACAAAGGGACCATCAGGGTCCAGTGGTAATGTGAGAACTAGCTCAGAGGTTTCTTGGTGGAAGCCAGTGTATGCCAGTGGTGAAAATCTCCAGAAATTAGTGCAACTTTACCTATTGACGTTGCTAGTCCATTCTGGCCAACATGGTTGTAGGCAAAGAGCTAGAAGAGAAAGCAAGGCAGTGAATGAGCATTTCCAGAGCAGTTCAACAAGCCCTCCCAGGGAACTCTAGGAATCGCAGCTCTGTGAGGGGAATAGAGGTCTTCTAACAGCTCTGAGCGAACTCAACAAAAGCTTCCAGAATATTTCGGGGGAAGCCATGAGTGTTTAAGGGGTGCTTTAAATGCATGGTGTACTGCAATGCGCTCTATGTGGGGCTACCTTTGAAGGTGACCCGGAAACTACAACCAATCCAGAATGCGGCAGCTAGACTGGTGACTGGGAGTGGCTGCCAAGACCATATAACACCGGTCCTACGTTTCTGAGCACAATTCAAAGGGTTGATAATGACCTTTAAAGCCCTAAACAGCCTCAGCTCTGTATCCCTGAAGGAGCGTCTCCACCCCCATCGTTCAGCCAGGACACTGAAGTCCAGCGCCAAGGGCCTTCTGGTGGTTCCCTCATTCGAGAAGCCAAGTTGCAGGGAACCAGGCAGAAGGCCTTCTTGGTAGTGGTGCCTGCTCTGTGGAACGCCTTCCCATCAGATGTCAAGGCAATAAGCAACTATTTTACTTTTGCCAAATGGGCAAAGTAGAAATAATAATAAATTATCATTATTACGTGTGGGCATGGTCAAGTCATGCATAGGAAGGGTGAGAGGCTATCAAACTACGGCCCATTGGGATTTAGCCTTGCCCTCTCTAATTTCCAGTTCAGCCTTTGCCAACCTGGTGCCCTTCAGATGTTTTGGACTACAACTCCCATAAGCCCTAGCCAGCACAAGGTGGTGTAGAAAAATGGCAACTAAAGTAAGCAAAGGGCACGCCCAGATGACTTGTTTATTGAACATTCATCTCCATTTGCTCGCAGGGAACTTAGATGACGTTGGCTCTTTCATGAGCATTCATTTGCGGGGATGTTAGAGGATGTCGTGTCAAAGCAAGTGTTATCCCATCCTTTTCAGTGCATTTCTCTGTCACCTCTTGAAAAAAGGTCCAATCATTTGGAGACATGTGTTTGTTGCGCAAGACTTCCCAGCCACCTATGATTGCACAACCTGAAGCTGCGGCTATGTGACCCCAAAATAGTGACTGCCTAAAAGCGCCTGGACACACAACTGGTGTTTATCACCTTGCTGCCTCTGAAGCTGGAAGTGCGCAATAGGGAAACTCACCATGGGAACAGCCAAAATGAGCATCGTACAGCATGTCGTGCCCCTGCCACCTGTGTAGTCAGAGATGAGACCTGCCAGGATGCCTCCTGCAGGGGAAAAAAGTCACAGATCACTTTCAGAAGTTGGCAAAGGGTGGAGAATGTCAGGTCTGAGAGCCATGAACTCACTCAAAGGCCTTCAGCAAGGCAAATAAATATCAGATTTTCTGTTTTAGAATTTAAAGTACTCATTTTTACATCCTTAAAATATCAATGACTTCCCTTCTTCTCCTTCCATGTTTCATTTTGCATATCATAAATCCCTGCATATTTTACAAAAACTATACCATTCAGTATTCCATTATTAAATCCATCAAAATTTATTTACACCGATGAATTTTTCTTAATGCTGCCAGTGTTTTCAGCTGTACAGAGTTATTTCCCATATATTCAATAAACGTTTTCCAATCTTCTCTAAATGTATGATCTTCTTGTTCTTCTTATTCTATATGTTAAGTCTGCAAGCTGTGCATATTCCATCAGCTTAAGTTGCTACTCTTCTTTGGTCGGGACTTCACTCGTTTTCCATTTTTCAACTAACAACACGTGCCGCAGTAGTGGCATACATAAATAACCTTTTTTGACACCTGGGAATTTCCTTCTGAATTATCCCCAACAGAAAGGACTCTGGGGTTTTTTTTTGGGGGGGGGGAGTACTTTTGAACATTTTCCCCAATTCATTATGTATCATTTCCCAATACTCTTTTACCCTTGGGCTCCAGGATAATGTAAACCCATTTGCCATGCCTTGAAACCCAATGATTTTCAGTTGCGTGTCGAGGTCCCCAGGGCCACCCCAATAACTCACACATCACACCAAATTTTTTGTTTTTGGCATAATTTTGGCCACAACTTTATTAAAATACAAACATGTGAGTGGTTGCTTAGGCATTGGTTGCGACTAGCTGCCCCCACCATGGGGGACAGACATTCCGCACAATGCGAAAGTCAGAAAAGGGGAATACATTTGGGGGTAGCAACAGAGAAGGGAGCCTGCCCTCAGCCCTCCCCAAATGCAACCAGGAGCTCATTGCTATGGCCCGAGCCCCCTTGACAGAGTGGACAAGCAATAGTTAGCCCCCGATTCCTTTAACAGAATCCCTCGCAGCAGCAGCATTAGAGGGGCAGGCACAGCCAATCCATGCCCCTCAACCAACCAAACCATAAACCTAACTGCAACCTTACAAGTTGTGACGATTTGCTACACAGTAGGCAAAAACCAAATGGCCCCAGCCAATCAGCCAGATGGACAAAATTCCTACCGGGCCCCTGCCCCAAAGCAGACGACCCCATGACAGGCATAGCAAGGTCAAAGCAAACAACCCTAATTCTAGGGAGGGGGGGACGGGCAATCCGATGCACGGTCGAAAAGAGGAAGCCCTAGCCTCGTGCAAGGAGTTTTAGCATTTCTGGCTGTCAATCAACAAATGGCAACATTAACTTCTTCCCAACTACAAGGGAAGCCCCAGTCGCATCAGTGGCCAATGATCAATTTGGAGTGTCCTGGCGGCCCCCACCGCAACACGTGCTCTCCGTGAAGGAGAACACGCTTTGCCGTATCTGACTTTGGCGAAGTTTGTTAAATTTGCTTTGTCTGTTATTAGTTCTGGATATTCATTTTCCTTTGGCTTTGGATAATCGGACTTCATCTTGTTTTGTTTTGTTTTGGTATCTAGGTACACAAATAAAATTACACTACTAAAATTAATTTTTTAAAAAGAAAATCGATGCAACAAACCAACTATGCCGCCGACGTCAAAGAGGGTGGACATATCCCCTGCCTTTTTCGCGGTGAAATGAGCTGCAAAAGAAGAGCAGGAGAAATGGCTGGGTGAGCAGAGAGGATCAAAATGTGATGGAATTAAATGGGGGCTGGAGGGTTTGCATGCAAAGGGATCCACATTCCATTCCACCATCACCAACACCTCCAGTTGAAGAGATCTCAGTTGCGGAAGACCCCCTGTAATTGGCCCTGCACAGCTTCTGCCAGTCAGAGTCGACAGAACTGGGTTAGATAAGATCAATGGTCTGTACTTGGCTGGAAGCAGTTCTCTGCTTGTTGGCAGGAGATGTAGCTCAATGGAAGAGGATAAGTTTTGCATGCAAAAAGTCCCTGGCATCTCCTACATCTGAAACCCTAGAAAGACACTTCCAGTCAGTGTAGCTATTATTGTGCCAAATAGGGCCAGTACTTTGAGAATGAAGCCTTTAGCTCTGCTCTTCTAGGCTTTTGTTTTAACTCTGCTATTTAATTCTTTTGTTTTAATTCTGTCCTGTTTTCTTTTCTTAGAAGCGCTTGTTGGGGCTGAAACAGGAGCATAAAATGATTTTTTCCCCTCACTCAATCAATAAAGTAGAATAAAATAAAATGAGGTCCCACTAAAATCTTTATAAATAAAAAAAGGTTTTTCTTCTTAAAAACGGGTCCATCTTTAGGTGTGATGAAGGACATGGACCTAAGCCAGCCTTCGGGAGGCTCGGAGTCATTGGAAAATCCCACCAGCAAAACTTCCTGAAGCAGGTTCTCAGATCACAAATTGGGAATCTCCATAACAAGCTCCTTGCAACTCACCCACATTCACAATGTAGAGGGGAAGCCAGTAAAGGAACGTGTAACTGACTAGTTTTGCAAACAGCAGGCAAAAGGAGAACTCCACAACTCCCTGCAGAGGAGAGAAAGGAACAAAACAACCCATTAGCAGCTAACGAAAGGCAGTTTTTGCAAAGACAAAGGCCCCAAACAGACAGGACACAGGGGTATGGGTGTCCGTGGGGGTGGGAAGGGGGATGTTGCCCCCTGAATCACAAGCCACTGATTCCCACAGAACTTGAGATACAAGGGGGAATGTGCAGGCATTCATCTTCCTGTTTTGTTTTAAATATATATTTGTGAGAAACCAGGCTCCATTCAGGGCTTGCCTTTACCCTCCCCTAGATAAATGCCTATGGTCTCCCATGAACATGGCCAATTCATGATCTCCTTTTCTCCTTTTGTCTGCCCCGGTCCAGTATACTTGAAGGAGTGTCTCCACCCCCATCGTCCAGCCCAGACACTGAAGTCCAGCGCCGAGGGCCTTGTGGTGGTTCCCTCACTGCGAGAAGTGAAGCTACAGGGAACCAGGGAGAGGGCCTTCTCAGTGGTGGCACCCGCCCTGTGGAACGCCCTCCTATCAGATGTCAAGGAAATAAACAACTATCTGACTTTTAAAAGACATCTGAATGATGTTTAGGGAAGTTTTTAATATTTGGTGTTCTATTGTGTTTTCAATATTCTGTTGGGAGCTGCCCAGAGTGGCTGGGGAAACCCAGCCAGATGGGCGGGGTATGAATGAATGAATGAATGAATGAATAAATATCTTCTTACTAAACAGTAGCTGACAGGTGTGTAGTTGCCAATCTGATCCACACAACAGCACACCTGTCAATTTCAATTTCCAGTCTTCTCTCCCCACCCTGGGTTATAAATATAGTACAGTGGTACCTCAGGTTACATAAATTTCAGGTTACATACGCTTCAGGTTACAGACTCCGCTAACCCATAAATAGTACCTCGGGTTAAGAACTTTGCTTCAGGATGAGAACAGAAATCATGCGGTGGGGCGCAGCGGCAGCGTGAGGCCCCATTAGCTAAAGTGGTGCTTCAGGTTAAGAACAGTTTCAGGTTAAGAACAGACTTAACTTAAGTTCTTAACCCGAGGTACCACTGTAAACTGAACAAAGGGAGTTCTACCACTGCAACTAGTCTCTTACGACGCAGCCACCCCACCCTCCCTCCCCTGTGGAGCCATACTCACAGGTATCCTTAGGGCATCAATGAAACTAATGGCTTCCCGGTTTTCCGTCGATTCTTTGCTACCTTCCGACATGTCCACAATGTTTTCTCGGCTGTTGCTGGAGATATTTAGGCTCCCGTCGCTGATGGAGTGGCCCGCCTCAAGACCTTTCTCTTCCAAACCGGCGGTCTGAGAGAGACACAAACAAATAAAAACACCTCAGGAGTTTGGATCGAGATATGACCCTTCTATTTGTCGAACTTTCCCTCAGAAGCAGCTGCTCTTTATTGAGTTGGACCACTGGTCTATCCAGCTCTGTTTCCTCTAGAGTGGCTGGTCTCCAGGGCTTCAGATGGGGGTCTCTCTCAGCCCCTACTGCCCCAGAGATGCCAATGATTGAACCTCGGGTCTTCTGTGTACATAGCAGATGTTCTGCCCCAGAGATACGGTACTTCCTTCCACACCAGGCCTCTCCTTTTCCAGTTATGACCAGGGATTGGGCTGACACAAGTGGGAGCTGTGTCAAAATGTTTAAAATAACTTTTTCTTTAAAAAACATCCCGAAGCCTTCCTTTTAGAAATTCTAGGTGCCGAAATCCTGAGGGAGCAGAAAATCCTATTTATGTATGCAACCACGGCTGCATGGGTGTTATTGGCCCAGAGATGGGAAGAAGATGAAGTCTCTGCCAGAGAAGAATGGCAGGTGAAGTTAATGGACTATGCTGAAATAGCTAAATTGACCGGAAGTATCAGAAATCAGGAAGACCAGAAATTTAACAAGGAATGGGGGGAATTTATAACTTATCTTAAAGACCATTGTAAGCAGTTGAAACCGTTAGTAGGATTGGAATATCACTTGTAGTCTACAGGTGAATTTTGGACACAGTGGAGATGTAAAATATTTGGATCATCATAAAAGATGCGGGAGGAAATGATTAACAATAGGACCCACAAAGGGGAGGAGGGAAGTCCAGGAGATTCTCTGGAATCTTGTTTTTATGTTGTATGTTGGATATGTGATTGTAAAACTTTAATCTGAAAAACCAAATAAATAAATTTATGGGGTGGGGGGAAGTGTTGCAATGTTGGGTGCTCCTGTCCAGCATTCTAGCCAGCCATGCCCTTTTGCAGGGTGTGCCATTCCTTCTCAGGCAGCATTCAGTGGCTACTGAGCATGCTCAGTCCCCAGCCCTTTAACAGCAGCTCGATGTGCAGCCGTTAGCTGGGGAGAAGAGAGCCAGTTAGGTCTCGTCTCAGATGCGCAGGAGCAGCTCCCATGTGGATGGGAGAACGCGTCAATGACCCAACTATAACATGGAGAGAGTTGCCAACTATGTGAGGAAGGTATGTCCAGTTGAGCCCTTTGGGAGGAAGGGAGGGGTATAAAGGAATGAATGAATGAACAGAATCGTAGAGTTGGAAGGGACCGTGAGGGTCATTCTAATCCAATCCCCTTGCAATGCTTTTTGCCCAATGACTTGGCTTACTTTGGTTGCTCATTAAGGAAGATGGGAGAGCCTCAGCTCCATCAGACTCCGTCAGCAACTATCAGAGAGGTAAAGAGGGGAGACTGCAGGGCTGTGCAAGATACTGAGGGTTGGAAACCAAGTGAGGGGCTTCTGGAGCAGCGAGCCAAAAGATTGGGTGGGAATCTGCGCTCCTGCTAGACAGACCCAAGACAGACCCGATGATGGAGAGAGAAATGGGGGCCGAGGCTTAAGTCACCCCGACCTCGGGGGGGGGGGGATCCTGAGGGCTGAGCCTAAGGCAGAGCAAAAAAGAGGCCTCCCAAAAACTAAAAACCAAAGATAAAGCGTTTTTTTAAAAAAAAGATGCAGGGAGGACCTCTGCGCAAAAGGGCTAATCCACTCTCCGGTGCAAATGCCCCCAAACCGAGGCAGCGCTGAACTCTCCTATAAAAGGAGACTGTTAAAAGCAAGACGTCTGCACCTTAAAAAATCAAAAACTGGAAAAAATCAATGTAATTGACAACCCCCATAAGCGAAAGTAGGGGGAAAGGGAGAGATGGGAGGAAAAACTTTTTCTTGCCAAAAAAGAACACAGAGTTTGACCCGAAAGCAGAGAAGGGGACTGCAACATTACACAGATTACTACAGTTTTCAGCAAAGGGCTCCCGAAGCAATGCATGAGAAGCTGAAATCTGAAATTATAAAAGCTGCGCATGATGCTAGTCCACTGTGAGTAAGCTGTGAAGAAAGGATATTGACTCTCTCGCCCTCCTTCTCCCTCCCTTCTCCAGTAGTGCATCATGCTCCATACTGAAAGGAAGAAGAAACAGCTGTTTGCTGTTAGTGGAGTAAAGTCTAAGTCTCATTAAATTGAATGGTGCTTGCTCCCTGGAAAATGTGCATAGGATTGAAACATAAGTGGGTGGGGGGAATGTGCAAAACTTACGTGATGGAGAGGAGGGCTGCAGTCGACGTCTTCGGGATCTGAAGTGGAGAGGAGACTATATTACAAAAGAACACCTTTCATTCGGAGCACGATGACAGCAGCAACCGAGGTGCGTGTTTTATCAAATATATTCCAGTTTGGAAATCAGGTAATTAGTGCCTGGCTGGATGAGACCTGTGGTCCATCTAATCTAGCATTCTATTCTGTGAAGGCACAGAAAGCCTCTCTTGAAGGTCACCCTAAGAAAAGCACATCCCTGCCAGGGCAGAGAAGAAGGCAGCTGTAAGTGCTTTCTAACACTAGGCGGCAACATCTGCTCGTCTACCGCTGATGATATGAAATTCAGGGATGCTCAGAGATGTTCCTTCTCAAGTCCTATGTGGGTCAAAAGCAATGCTCCCCAATTTGACACAGACTAGTTCATTGTCGCCTTGGTGATTCTGCTCTGGGTTTCTATTGCACCTTTTAAACACTGCATGGTCCAATAAGCCACATGCATATTCCGATTGTTTTGGCTTTTATGAGGCTATTTGAGACAATTCTGATGTTTGGATTCAGGTCCTCTCTTTGCTTCTCATCCCCCCTCACTTTGGTGAATCGCTATTTCCTACCACAACTATGTTATCCAGATATGCTCATATTAAGCATGCATTGCTTATAAACTACATCCCCTCTCTGGCTAACACCCTGGTCCTAAAGGAGTTTAAAAGGTAAAGGGACCCCTGACCATTAGGTCCAGTTGTGACTGAGTCTGGGGTTGTGGCGCTCATCTTGCTTTATTGGCCGAGGGAGTCAGTGTACAGCTTCCAGGTCATGTGGCCAGCATGACTAAGCCGCTTCTGGCGAACCAGAGCAACGCATGGAAATACTGTTTACCTTCCCGCCGGAGCGGTACCTATTTATCTACTTGCACTTTGACATGCTTTCGACCTGCTAGGTTGGCAGGAGCAGGGACCGAGCAACGGGAGCTCACCCCCTCGCGGGGATTCCAATCGCCGACCTTCTGATCTGCAAGTCCTAGGCTCTGTGGTTAAACCACAGCGCCACCACTTTAGTCAAAAGTAAATATCATGGATTTTATAAAAGCAGAAATTACTTCCTTGGGTTTGCACCCAAACAGTCTCAAAGCAAGAGTAGGTAGGTGTGCATATAGGGCCGAGCCAAAAATTATTTTCAGAACTTTTTTTGCATCAAAATGCAGTGCTCGGGACGGGGGCTGAGGAGACAAAAAGATTTCACAAAGCCGGCCCCTCCTTATGCTTTTCTGCTACTGTTTCCACCTCCTCTTCTATGAGTCTGGTGACAGGAGGTCCTGGCTCTTGCTAGGCACCAGTTGTTTCACCTACCAGAAAGCATTTGCCCTCACTCTGAGTTGGCTTAACAACAACATATAATCACATAATGTCGTCGTCATGAAGTCAAATCAGAGAGAGGGCAACACTTCCTGAACTCTCTTGGATTTAAGGGAGCGCCTTTGCTGCTGCTGCCAATTCTGCATCAGACTTCATTCCTGTTTGTGTCCCTGTACCCAAGCGCCTCCAACTTTGCCAAGTGTGTCTGTGTGTAGGGAGACATTTTGGCTCAGCGTACACTCACATTCAATGAGGAACAAGAAGCAGATGACGCCCATGCTGGCTATGATGATCCCAGGCACGATGAACGACAGGCCCCAGGCATTTGAAACCCAGGCACCAGCAATCAGGGATCCTAAAATGTTTCCTACAGATGTGTGCGAATTCCAGATGCCCATGATGAAGCCTCGTCTGGTAAGATAGAAAAGACACGGTTCAGTTCAGACAGCAAGTCCAAAGTCTACACCGATCATAGTTTAGAACCAAAACCACAGCTTGAGTTTCTGAGCATGAAGCTGGCAAACCACAGTTTCCCTCCTATCAGCTTTTAGCTTCAGAAGTTCACTCCTGCTTCCATGGCACAGAAATCTTTTGAGAAACAGTGCCTTTAGCTATGGTTTGTCCATTAAGACATCATTCCCAACCATAGCTAGCACAAACCATGGCTTGCCAACCCCTATTAAACCATGCTTTCTTGTTCAGACTGTTATCGCCAATTGTAAACCCTCAGGCTCAATTCAGAAATGGTGTCCAAACCATGCTTACCAAAACTTAAACTATGGTTTGGCATGATGTCTGAATTCACAAATCATGGCCTGCAAACCCACTTTCAACCATGGTTTCTCATTGTGGTTTGACCACTGGTTGCAAACCATGATTCATGGTTGCTCCTCCCTCAACCCTATCTACTGCTCATTTGCCCTTTGGTCCTGACTACTGGGGTGACCCATGGCTCCCACTTCTCAGGACCTGGGCTCACCCCTGTCTGCTGTCCACAGCTCAGGCCTGATACCAGAATCGTTTAATGAGCAGAGGGTTGCCAAACTTGGAATTCAGGCAATCCCGGTTCAAATCTCTGCCCAGCCATGAAACTCACTGGTTGGCTTCATGCAAGTCATTATCGCTCAGCCTAGCCTACCTCACAAGGTTGTTGTGAAGATATTCCAAGCCACTGATTTGATATTACTGGTTTATTAACTGTACTTTCATGCTGGCCCATTACTCTGGATGGAGTACAGTCATACCTCTGGTTACAGACGCTTCAGGTTGCGTTTTTTCGGGTTACAGACCACCGAAACTCAGAAGTACTGGAACGGGTTACTTCCGGGTTGCGGCGGTCGCGCATGTACAGAAGTGCCAAATCGTGCTTTGCACATGCGCTGAAGTGCTGAATCGCAACCCGTGCGTGCACAGATGCGCCGCTGCAGGTTGCAGAATATGTGGGTTGTGAACGTGCATCCCGCACGGATCACATTCGCAACCCAAGCGTCCACTGTACATCAAAAAGCTATTTTGAAAAACACACACACACACCATCTAACATAATGCCGTTCACAAAAAGGCAGGCATGCATATGCGATTTTTTTTAAAGCCCCATGATGGTGCCATAATCAGGTCACTGCCTCATTTTCCAGCGCAGGGTGATATTTTCCATTTTGGCAAGGGAATAAATCTGGTACTTCCTCCTGGGATGAGGATTAAGCAATTGGCACTTGAAAGCAAAACAACCACCCACAAGACACAGTTCGACAGATACAGTATTAGGAAACGAGACTCACTTCCCCTTTCCAAACCAGTTGCCGACACACGTCACCACAGACGGCCATCCCGTTGTTTGCGCCAAGCCATTGAGGACCTAGTGGGTGGGTGGAAGGAGCAGGAGAGAGAGAAAAAAGCACAGCTAGTTAAGCCAAAGTTAGCATTATATACAATGCCTTATTATTATAAGAAAAATAATGGGTTGTAACTAATGGGTTGTATCTAATGCTAGGCCCCATCTGCACTATACATATAAAGCAGTATCATACTGCTTTAAATAGTAATGGCTTCCTCCCAAAAAATTCTGGGAAATGTGAGGAGAGTTCTGTTCCCCTCTCAGAGTTGCTTTGGATTGGACTTCTGGAACGGATTAAGTTTGAGAACCAAGATACCACTGTACCCTTAAGCCATGATCCAATTCCAACCTGCCCCGTCTTCCACCTGTGATGTATTATATAAAGCCATGCACACAATTATTGTGTTAAAGTGCCTCATCTAGTTTAGCCCTACACCAAGACCATCAGGACAGCTAAACTCAGTCCCCTGGCGACTGATTGTACACATCCCCGAAAGAGCTGTAGGGACAAAATCTTCCTCACTGCTCATTCCCAAGTAAAGCAAGCCAGGGATCCTGGTTTTCTGAGTCAACTCGAATTTGGGGGTGTTTCTGGGATGCATCTCGCCTCTCTTCATTCTAGACTTCCCGGTGAGCAAAACCTGGCTGGGCTACCACCCAAACCAGTTGTGAAGTTCAATCCATGAAGGAGTGGGAGGAGATTATCATGACTTGTCCCAGAGCCAGTTTCAATTGGGAAGGAAGAAGAATGGAACGCCTTGCCCAACCGGCTCTCTAGGGTTTCAGGAAAAGTCCTCTTCGAGCACTACGTGGAGATGCTAAGGAGTGAAGTTTTCTTCCCTCAAACAAACTACTTTCTTCCCTTCGCTCAAGCTTAGGGGATACCCATCCTGGTTTTCAGGTGCATGGTGTTGATTGGCCAGCCCCTGTGACCTGTCACAAAACCACCAGAGCTCAGAGATGATTGGTTGGCCTGAGTCTTCATGGCAAAACCTTCTCAAGGCTGCGCAGCATTGATTGGTTGGCCCTGGTATCAATGGCACAGCCTGCTCAAGACAAGCTTTTAAAGTATAAATTAAGTTGTTTTTTTAAGTGGCAATCAAATATTTGAGAGCAGGTAGACATGTGATGTCCTTGAAAACATAAGCAATCTTTGGAATGCTTAAGGAATAACATCAGGCTATGGACTATGGATTTCCTGATCAGGTTTCAGCTGTGCTTTTTATGTTAATAGCCTGCAAAGAAAGGACCACACCCAGGAAACAGTGTAAACGAGCTCATTATGGAATGATTCACTGGAGTTATATAAGGACGCAGGTATCACTCCGAGAAATTGCTTACTAATGCTTGTATTGGATTTTTCCATAAGTTAATTAATCAATGAATCGCTCGAGTCAAACCAACAGCTTTAGTTAATTGAGCTGTGGGGACAAAGTTTAGTGACAGAGATCAAAACTGAAGGGGACAGTCGTAAGCTTAATTTTTGAAGCTACTGTTTGAAGAAGTTTGGGGGTCTTATATACAAATGATTACCACAGTGTGGATCCGTTTATTAAATTCTATGTTATATCATGCTTTGGTCAACAACTTAAAGAAAATGCTTGGTATGCAATCAATCAGTTGAAAAGCACTCACGCTCTTCAGATGTAAATTCCCTGACATTTAAGATATTCCAGGGATGGGTGATCTTAAAATTCTATCTCACATGGTAATTGGAGTGACATCCACAAGGAAAATGCTCTGTTATACCCCAAAGCTCTGAAATTCTCTCCCATCAGAGGATCATAGGATATTATTATTATTATTATTATTATTACCTGATCTGCTTTCTTTGGCATAGTCATCCCATGACAATTCACTATATGTATTTTCTCACAAGAAAGTTTGCCACATAATTTCCAAACAACCGTCTGATCAATGAGCAGAAACAATGAAAATTAAAGGCTCTCTTCCTGTTTCCTTTTTGAAGCAAGTTAAGGTATTTCTTTCTTTGCTGTTGTGCCTTCAGTACAAACTGTTTCAGCTCAGCTGTTTGTCATATCCCAGCCTGTTTCTTTCTTATTTTTAATTTCCAAGTGTGCTACTGGTGTTTTCCATATTGCATGTGGGTTGTTTTTAATTGTAAGTACACTGCTCTGGGAAAGATACATCGACAGGGAAGTTTTTAATGTCTGATGTATTATTGTGTTTTTAATATTCTGTTGGGAGCCGCCCAGAGTGGCTGAGGAAACTCAGGCAGATGGGCAGGGTATAAATTTTTATTACTGTTGTTGTTGTTGTTAACAACAACAACAACAACAACAACAACAACAACAGAAAGCAAAGTACAGTGGACACTCAGGTTGAGAACGTGATCCATGCGGGATGCACGTTCACAACCTGAAGTGTCCGCAACCTGCAGCGGTATGTCTGTGCACACACAGGTTGCGATTCAGCGCTTCGGCGCATCCGCCGAAACCCGGAAGTAACCTGTTCTGGTACTTCTGGGTTTTGGCGGTCCGTAACCTGAAAAAACGCAAGCTGAAGCGTCTGTAACCCAAGGTATGAATGTATCTCTCAAAAATGCCAGGGTACTTAGGTGCAGCGCTTTTAAGGTAATAAAGTGCCAGTACTCAGATATTGGAAACGGTGAGGACCGTCACAAAAGTAATACTGGTTGGGTGGAAACTTACTGAATCATCGATTTTGAAATATGCATAAGCATGGGGCTGAGAAGTTCAGACAAAAACAGAAGCACCACATCCAGGAGTTCCTGCGTCATCAAACACAATAACCTCTCATTTGACTGCAGTGTGTGTCACTCAGACAGACAGGCTCAGCTGGGATGGGAAAATATACTGCATCTTTCTCTAAGTTATTCCGACCGCTAAATATATCAGGTTTCTGTTTGCCCAGACTGCAGTGCATGTGACTATGAGATCCACAGAACTGAGCATCACAGACCGTTTTCCCATAAGGAAGCCAATGGAGCAGAGGAGGGGCAAACCACCCACTCAAAAGTTCATCGAGCAAGGAAGGTCAGAGGGGGGAAACCTGGCAGCCAAGTCCTGCATAAAGGCTACAGGTACTTGATTCTTTATACTGCTCCATCAGTGCACATGGTTATGGTGGAGAGAGGTGCCTGCCCCAAGGAGATTGCAATTTATTTTTGCCAGTGGATGGCAAGAGGAGGAGGAAAAGAGGACGCTGACCTAGGCAAAAGATAATCACAATCTAACTTAGAAGGTTAACAAGAGGAGCCGTAGAAGCCACCTTACATGAAATCAAACCACTGGTTTATTTAGTATTGCCTGCACTGACTGGCAGCTGCTCTCCAGGGTTGCAGGCAGGGGTCTTTTCCAGGGGATTGAACCTGCAACCTTCTGATGCAAAGCCGATGCTCTGTCCTTGAGCTACGGCCCTTTCCCAGATGAGGGTGTGCAATAAGCCACTTTATATTAAATCAGGCTAGCAACGCTTCCAAATCCATAGAATAAATTCTTTCTTCTTTTTTTGCAATTGGTTTCAAAGCCAGTTCTGAAGTGGCCCAGGAAGAATCAAGTCTCTGTCCTAATGTCCTTTAACTGGAGACTAGGACCCATACACAAAGGTGCACACATTCCGGTGTATTGGGAAACTTGGGACAGCTGCCAGAGGGGCAGTGGCTGGCTTCTCTTTGTTAGAATTCCTGATCTATGATTGCAGTCATGGGATTTTTGTCTTTCACATGACGGTATATGTTTTGCCTCCACAGAGTGGGAAGTGACGGAGACAGGATGTTTGTATTACTGTGTTCCGTGAAGTGGGACTATTTGTCCTTTGTTCTTTTTCTCTTTGCTGTCTGATGCTAGAGAGAGAGGGAGCCATGTTGCAGTGCTCAGTGTATGTTTATATTTAAATAAAGTAGATTAGCCAAAATGCTGAGTTGCTGAGGTCTGTTACGCCACTGTGCAAACTCTGTGGATCCCTAAGTGTGCAGGTGTCGGTTGGCATCGGTGGCTGTGATGTTCGGGCTGAAGAAAGCTTTTGAAGCTCCTGAACGATCGACCAGGAGGGAGGGAACACGCCAGTCGGGCATGTGTCTCTGCCAGGGTCCTACTTGAGTGTAGGCTGAACTCCTGACACCCTTCCCCCTCATGTGGAACTCAGAACCAAGATGAATCTTCATGCTGTGAATTGTTCCACCTTGGGAGATGGGAAATCAGTCAGGCTGACAGCCAGGTCCACCTGCTTCAAGAGAAAGCTATGTTGGCCCTACAGATATGTTCCTCTCCTTATCCGAAAGATGATTTCCCCAAGAACCCTCCTCACTATCTGTGTGAACTGCAAAGACCCACAGAATCACAGTTGGCCATCTAGCCTAGGGTTTCCCAAACTTGGGTCTCCAGCTGTTTTGGGACTACAGTTCCCATCATTCCTGACCACTGGTCCTGCTAGCTAGGGCTGATGGGAGTTGTAGTTCAAAAACAGCTGGTCTAGAAGAATCCCTGATAGAAGCAAGTAAGAGCAGGCCTCCTGGGCCTTGGACCCTAGCTCATTGGGACCTGCTCAGAGACCCCATACAGTGGTACCTCTGGTTAAGAACTTAATTCGTTCTGGAGGTCCATTCTTAACCTGAAACTGTTCTTAACCTGAGGTACCACTTTAGCTAATGGGGCCTCCTGCTGCCGCCGCGCCGCCAGAGCACGATTTCTGTTCTCATCCTGAAGCAAAGTTCTTAACCTGAAGCACTATTTCTGGGTTAGCAGAGTCTGTAACCTGAAGCGTCTGTAACCTGAAGCATCTGTAACCTGAGGTACCACTGTAGTAGGAAAAGGAAACAGCTCTAGAGAACTTAATTGGCAAGCGTGATGAATCTCCGTACCTGTACGAGAACAAAATACCACAGTTCATGGATGTTCCAGTAGTAGCCCAGTCCAAATAAGGCAGTGAACAACCCGCTCAGCAACATTCCTCCAGACAGATAGTAGCGCAATGGGAGGCGCTCACCGAAGACCCCGCTGTGGGAGACAGGAAGGAAGAGCGCATGAAACACAACAGCCACTTCTCAAGGATCAGTGCCCAACCAGAAATGAATGTGGAAACAGCTCAGGACCACTTAAATTAAAGGAGTAACTGCAGTAGTAACGGAAGCTGGTGTTGCTTCTTCCCACAACCTTCTGGGAAACCATTGTCAACAACACAGCTATTTCCCATGTCGCATTTCCCACACCGACGGAGCAGCATCGGAAGCGAAGCCGTCGTGGCTGCATTGTGGTTTGGACGCCCTTGTCTTTGAGGAAGGACACAATTTTTGCAATGCCCAGGCCTGGTCAATTAAGCTGGCCCGTGGTGATAAAAATGGCGTATACACAGCCCTGGAAATAGCCCCATGGAACTGTTTAATAACTACTTAGGAGACAAGAGAGCAAACAGGATCCATCATGTGGACAAGAGTCCTGTTGACGTCTCGAGCCCTCCATTAGCAGATTTCTTATCTGTCTGCAGTTATGACCATGTTTATGGGAATTCTATATCTCTGATCGGTTTCCTGCGTGGTTTAAGAGGTGAGCTGATTGCTGTCGGTGCAGCTGGCACCTGCCATGCCATGCCAAAGTAATCAAATCTTATGGATTTGTCCTAAGAGCACCTCTTGGGTTGTTTGAGACCTTTTAACAACAGCCAGGATACTGAAGTCCATCAGCCAGTGGTTGATCACAGGCAGGGCCTGTGGATGAGAAACAGGCTGGGGCCATATCCGGCCCTTCAGGCCTCTCTGCCTGGCCCTTGGGGATCTCATCAGACCACGCCCCCTCCCAAACCACTAGCCCTGCTTTGCATTCTCCTTGAGTAGTTATTTTTTTGCCTGGCTGGACTATGTGCTTGAACTCTGACCATGCTTCCAGCTTGCCAGAAGAGAGAACATTGCATGTTTGTAGAAACTAACCTACTGTAGCAAAGGTCAACGTTCATTGCTCAGCACACATTTGTCTTTGGCACTGCCCGCCACTAGAATGTGGCCCCTTGGGCTAAGGAAAAAGGTCCCCCACCTGTGGTGTAGGTAAACCAAGACCAAATCTAAATTGCAAATGCCACTGAAGGAGCTGGTGAAATTAAGATCACAAGGATTGCTTTGCTAGATCTGACTCCTATAACCCCGCGCCCGGGGGGGGGAGGGGAGACACATGTCTCCTAACAATTCCCATTGCCCTTAACAAACTACAGTTCCCAGGATTCTTTGGGGGAATCCATGGTTCTTTATAGCGGCATGATACTGCTTTAAGTGCACAGTGTAGATGGGGCTTGAATCCCACTGTGCTCAGTGGGAATTACTCCCTATTAAATGTGCACAGGATTGCAGCATTAAGGAATGCGTCCTATGGAACCAACAGAGCCTTTTAAGCAGGCATGCTTATGACTTTAACTGTAAGGTAAAGGGACCCCTGACCATTAGGTCCAGTCGTGGCTGACTCTGGGGTTGCGGCACTCATCTCGCTTTATTGGCCGAGGCAGCCGGCGTACAGCTTCCGAGTCATGTGGCCAGCATGACAAAGCCACTTCTAGTGAACCAGAGCAGCACACAGAAATGCCGTTTACCTTCCTGCTGGAGCGGTACCTATTTATCTACTTGCACTTTGACGTGCTTTTGAACTGCTAGGTTGGCAGGAGCAGGGACAGAGCAACGGGAGCTCACCCAGTCACGGGGATTCGAACCGCCGACCTTCTGATCGGCAAGTCCTAGGCTCTGTGGTTTAACTCACAGCGCCACCCGCGTCCCTCTGACTTCAACTGTAGATCTATACAAACTCAGTGCACACTAGAGACCCAGGGCGGAGTAATGGTTGTTAGAGTGTTGAGAGATCAGGGTTTGATTCCCCACTCAGCCATGAATCTCACTGGGCAACCTTGGGCCTGTCACCACTTCTTGGCCTAACCTACCTCAAAGGGTTGTTGTGAGGGTGAAATGGGGAGAAGGAGACCCATGTACACCCCCCTGAGCTCCTGGGAAGATCAAGGTGGTATATAAATGAAATAAACAAGTAAATGTGTCATTTCTTTTCTTCCTGCATTCTGAGTACATACCTGATGTACATTCCTATAGCGTAGGCAACCAGGAATGCATTGTCCAGGGCTCCAAAGAGTTCTTTGTAGTTGTCCTGATCTGGAAGAAGCAACAGTATGGGTTACGTTCAGTGGCAGCCGTACCCCACTGGGCAAAAGAAGTATCAAGCTCATGCAGGTTCCTGTATTGAGGCAGCTGGCTCCCCCCTCACTCTTTTTTTTCATTTTTGCAGTGGGCAAGGAAGAGCAGTTCCTGGCTGCTGATCAGCCACACAAAAATTTGGAGCAGAATATCACACGTTTTGTCTATTTCGGTCTTACGAATTTCTGACCTTCAAGGTTTCCAGGTCAACTCCTGTGTACTGTTCTCTTAACTGCACCCTGAAGTGGTACAGTCCCAGCAGGGCTATAAGGTAAAGGTAAAGGGACCCCTGGCCATTAGGTCCAGTCATGAACAACTCTGGGGTTGTGGCGCTCATCTCGCTTTATTGGCCGAGGGAGCCGGCGTATAGTTTCCAGGTCATGTGGCCAGCATGACTAAGCCGCTTCTGGTGAACCAGAGCAGCACACAGAAACGTCGTTTACCTTCCCACCGGAGTGGTACCTATTTATCTACTTGCACTTTGATGTGCTTTCGAACTGCTAGGTTGGCAGGAGCAGGGACCGAGCAACAGGAGCTCACCCTGTTGCAGGGATTCGAACCGCCGACCTTCTGATCGGCAAGTCCTAGGCTCTGTGGTTTAACCCACAGCACCACCTGCGTCCCCAGCAGGGCTATAGCACAGGCTTTTTTAAAGCATTAACACGTCTGCGTTCCACCTCTCCATTTCTTTTGCTGACAGTGGGTCTCAGGCCAAGGTCTTTCACAGCACGGGGAGATTTTCTGGATGCAAAGCATGTGCTCTTAAGTGCAGTCAAATGCAGCCATGCATGCATCAAGGTTGCGGCTGCATAATGGGAACACGGGGAGCCTCCCTCGCAGGGCTGTTGTACAGATGAGCCTCCCTTGCAGCCCATTCTCCTTGCTGCATCCTTATAAATGGAACTTCTCTTCCAAGCATATGGATGGCAGCACCTTTCTCCCCTCCTTCAAAATGCACCTTGTCCATGTGGCTGTTTGTTTGCCTTTTTAATTCCCCATTCTCAGTATAACCTGGACACACGCTTGACTGCATTTGCCTGCACTTAAGAGCACATGCTTTGCATCCAGAAAATCTCCCGGTGCTGTGAAAGACCTTGGCCTGAGACCCACTGTCAGCCGGGCAGTATATAAATTTAAGAAATAATAATAATGGACAGCACTGGGTCAAATGGACACATGGTGAAAGACAGCTTAAGGCAGTTTCCCAACTCTCCCTCCCTCCCACTGCTCTTTCACCTATTGCCTATTCCAAGCTGTAAGCTCCTTGCAGATGGGGCCCTGTGTCTTTTTGCCTAAGCAGCTCTGTAAAGGTACAGTTTACCCTGAAATTGCACTGTAGAAATATATCTGTGGAAAGCCTGACTGCACAGTGGGAACCAACCTGCAACCAATCTGCTAATGAGGCTCCACAACGACATTGCAAACAAACGCAGATAAGATACGCCAAGGTTGCTAATCACATCAGAATAAACTGTTGGCCCTCGAGGCATCCCGTTCCGGTTATTGCATACGAATCAGTTGGGATCAGAGAGCCTAAGTTGGCCATAAAGGCTGCCTAGTCCCCTGAGGTTTCCAGGAAAAGGACTCTGGATACAGCCCACAACTCAAGCGTCTGTGGAAAGCAGGAGGGTCAAAGAAGGAAAACACTCCTGCTGTTTTCCATACGGCAACTCTGAAAGCCACATGTCCAAGCTGCGGAAGTCACAAATAGCTTTTCCATATCCACCAACACAGAAAGTTGTTTTCTACCAAGCTCAGACCATCGGTCCATTGAGCTGAATACTGTCTGTACTACACTGACTCTCGAAGCTTTGCCAGTCCTACTTGGAGGTGTCAGGAACTGACCGTGCGACCCTTTACCTGCAAAGCAATTGCTCTGTCATGGACCTATGGTCCTTCCCTACCTTACAACGCCTGTATGCTACACAATTTTGCCCTGTCCTCCATCACTTTAGGAAGGCCAAGAAAGGGTGTATGTTTACTCTTCTGGGGAAAGATACAGCAGAAAACCAATGCAGCCTTACCAAAAGGCTTCCAGTCACACCAGGTAGTGCTGTTTGATTCATTGTGCGGATTGGGTCCCCGCGAAGAACAGTTATAATGCAGTTCACTCTGGGGGGGAAACACACACAGAGAACAGGCGCATGAGTCAGAGATTCTTTATTCATTCATTAAATTTACATCCTGCCCAAAGAGCCCAGGGTGAGAAAAACATTGGGCAAAATATTTCTGCATTGCAGGGGGGTTGGACCTGACAATACTTGTGGTCCCTTCCAACTCTACAATTCTATGATCCTAGGAATTTAAAACAACAGCAAACACAGTTTCAAAGCATTCTCTCCACAGGTGATTTCGGGGCTGCCAGGAGCGGCATGCTTCAGCCACCAAACGCCTGGGTATATAGGGATGTTTTAAAATATCTCCTGGAAGTCAATAATGAGGGAGACAGATGCACCTCACCGAGGGGAACATTCCAGAAATGGGGAGCCACCACTGAAAAGGCCCTGTCGTGGGTCAACGCCAACTGGGCAGCCTCCGGTGGTGGCACTGCCAACAAGGTTTCACTTGCCAAACGTAGGGGTTGCGAATAGTGGGGATGGCACACTTTTAGGTCCTTGGTCCCAGGCCATTAAGGGCTTTAAAGATTAGCACCAATGCCTTGAATTTGGTCTGGTAGCTCACTGACAGCCAGGGCAGAGGTTTTGGGATCAGCAACACATGGCCCCATCAGGCTGCCCCGCTAACCAGCCCAGCAGTCACATACTTACTTAAGACATTTCTATACCGCCTAACGATTCACATTTCTAAGAGGCGTACATAGAAACAATCGGCAGGAAATGGAACAATTGAAAATCACCATAAAGCCATGCTGTACTAGCTGTAGCCTCCAGAATGTCTTCAAGGGCAGCCCTGCCCATTGCAGTAGTCAGATGGGAGGTCACCGGACAATTGAGGCCAGGAATGGCCCTAGCTAAGCAGCCTAAACTGGGCTTAAGTACTCCTACCTACAAAAGCCACTCAAGATTCTAGTGGCAAGTTGGAATCCAGGAGGTCGCAGAGACTCTCTTTTAAATTTGTTTATTATTTATACCCCACCCATCTGGCTGAATTTCCCCAGCCACTCTGGGCAGCTCCCAATCGAGTATTAAAAACAATACAGCATTAAATATTAAAAACTTCCCTAAACAGGGCTGCCTTCAGGTGTCTTTTAAAGATAGGATAGCTGCTTATTTCCTTCACATGTGAAGGGAGGGCATTCCACAGGGCAGGTGCCACTACCGAGAAGGCCCGCAGTCTGGTTCCCTGTAACCTCACTTCTCGCAATGAGGGAACCGCCTGAAGGCCCTCGGAGCGGGACCTCAGTGTCTGGGCTGAACGATGAGGGTGGAGACGCTCCTTCAGGATCGAGGCCATTTAGGGCTTTAAAGGTCAGCACCAAGACTTTGAATTGTGCTCGGAAATGTACTCTGAACCTGTTCCTTCAATGGGAATGAAACCCCTCTCATGACAGGAAATGGGAGCCAACTCCTAGGGGCTGTGGTCCCTTTGGACCCCCAATAAAATATTTGAGGGGGCAGTGCCATTCAAACAGCATGTGCGCATCTTGTGATTATGTGGGGTGGGCTTAGCTTCTCCTCCCCTCAATATTTTATTCAACATGGCACCCTTGGGACAGGCCACACACCCAATAAATTATCTTTACACACAGAGCGCCGGAAGGGATACACATGCGAAAATGTATTTTTATACATCTGGCAAACAACAAAGGTGCTGATTGCAAGGAAACAAGAAAGGCCAGCTATGAAAATGGATTAAAATTAACAGAAGGATGAAAATGCAATTAAAGAAGAAGAATGAATAATAATAATAATAATAATAATAATATTTTTTTATTTATACCCCGCCCTTCCTGGTTCAGAAAACCAGGCTCAGGGCAGCTAACAACAAATTTAAAACACTTAATTGATGCAACAAAAAACAGAATGAAGTGGCAACATCAGGAAGCAATGGACATATGCTTGTAACAGGAGCTGGAAACCAAATTATTTTATTTTTAAAAAACATTGTATCAGATTAAATAATTTGGTTTGACTTGTTAAAATTTGGAAAACTAATAAAAACTAATATATAAAAAGGGACAGGCCATACACCAAGATCCCAGGCATGCTGGTTTCATATAGCACCATCAGTACGGATGCAATTTTAAAGGGCACAAGACAACAGGTCCCTGCCCCGAGGGGCTTACAATCTAGAAAACATTACAGGGATACATCAGAGGAACAGGAGAGAAGTGGAGGAAGGGGAAGAGTTCAAATATGCCTTCTTACAGCTGAAGCCAGTTAATGTTTATTTGGAAGTGGATCTCACTAAAATTCAATGGGGCTTCTTCCCAGGGAAACCTGTATAGGATTGCATGCCCACCCCCCCTTGTGTCCAAAGATAGCCCCTCACCCCTGGGGACCGATGCTACGTACCTTTACTATACTGATGGGCTTCCGTGAGAGATGGAAAGTGGTATAACACAGGAACGTCAACACAAGAATTAATCCCCGGTACCTAGAAAAGAAGACACACATGAAAGATAGAGCAAACAGCGAGAAAGATGGAAAACAGTGATAAGCTTTAACTGTTATCTCTGAAGACTGACGGCTGAAGTCTCACCATCTTGCTTGAGCAGCTGCAGAAAAATAAATGTCTACCACATCCTCTGGGGGGAAGAGAACCAAAGCTGGGAGGTCATTTTACTCCCCGTTTAAGCTACAGAAACTGGTATGCTTTAACTCTACATCCAAGGGCACCGTGTATCAAAAGAAAATCCTACCGCTTATTTCATTATCATTAAATTTATATCCTGCCCTTCTTCCCAAAGGAGCCCGGGGCAGCAGATGGCATGTGGTAATAATACGAACATATTTAAAACAATTCCAGTGCAGATGCAGACTGAGAACAATTTCAACTTAATGAAAGGCTGTGTGAAAAAGTTCTTCGAGCAGGTACTGAAAAGACAGCAGGGTCGGTGCCTAACTCTGGGGAAGGCATTCGAAAAGACAGGTGCTACAACCCTAAAAAGCCTGTTGTTCTGCTGTTACAACCATCAATGCATGGTGCACTACTAAGTACGATAGGGCAGGCTCTTGACCCAAAGAGCTTAATGGCATATAAGCCAAAGGCTACGTGAAAAAGATCACATGACCACACGGAAAAGATCACATGATCTACTACTACTGCAAAAATAAGGGCCACCTTTCCTGCTCGCTTTGCTCGCCAACCCCAGCTACTACCTTCCCTTTACACCTGAGCAAATCCCCTTCCCCACCCCTTTACAACTTGCCAAACTGCAGCGTGACAACATCCTTACAATTTTATTATATCATTAGAAATAGAATTCCAGCACTACAGAGGGGGGAAACAGCTCAATTTCTACCCATAAGACAACTTTAAAATATGAAGGGTTTCCAGGTTAAAATGTAAGTTTCCTTCTTCCCAAACAGTTCAATCAGATTTCCAAAAACAGGCAACTAGTATTAATCCTTTAAAATTAAAAATTAAACCAGCATTTTATAAAGACCAGGGGGATGTTTTTTCTTTTGATATATACACTATATGCATGTTTAGCATCCACTTGGGTTGCAACCCTACACACTTGCATAAGAATAGGCCCTGTCAAACTCAGCAAAATTTACTTCTGAGTAAATGCAGAGGAAGGCATAGTTTGTGAAAGCCAGCCAGCAAGTGAGCAGAGAATTTACATCATCCGTTACCACGGAACTGCATGTCGCAAAGTCCCTCCAGCCTCTGATCTTCTTCACCTTCAAGAGGTGAAACAGAGGCTGGAATAAATTGAGCAAGAGCCAGCAAAGTCACCTGACTCATCCTTTCTATGTCATCCTCGGAGAGCTGGCTGCATAAATCATTGCATCCTTTTTAGCATTGCTGGTTGCAGATCGCTCTTCTGTTGTGTAAAGCCAAGGCCAGTTCATACCCGCACCTTCACCTCTGGCTGACATCAGGACAGGAATTTGTTCCCCATCCCCAGAGACAATGCTGAAGTCGGCAGACCAATGGTTCTGATTCAGTATAAGGAAGGCATAATCTGGGGGCCTAATCTGGCCCGCTGGTTGGTTTAATCCAGCCCCTGTGGCAGTTTATTTCCTGGGGTAAAATCATAAACATCAATCCTAAAAAAAAAGCTCAACAACTTTGGGGTCAAATCATAAAAAAGCTCAAAAACTTCAATCCTAAAAAAAGGTTAACAACTTTGGTTGGCCCTTTGGTCGGCCCTCATGGCCCTTCACTTCATCAAATCTGGCCCTCTCTGAAAAAAGTTTGGACACCACTGGTAAGACATGGGTGGGTAAACTAAGGCCCGGGGGCTGAATCCAGCCCAATTGCCTTCTAAATCCGGCCCACGGATGGTCCGGGAATCTGCGTGTTTTTACATGAGTGGAATGTGTCCTTTTATTTAAAATGCATCTCTGGGTTATTTGCGGGGCATAGGAATTCATTCATATAGTCTGGCCCCCCACAAGGTCTGAGGGACAGTGAACCAGCCCCCTGCTGAAAAGTTTGCTGACCCCTGGTTTAAGGGATGGCACTGTAGCACAGTGGCAGAGTACCAGCCCTGTATTAGATATGTCTGGAGTGGCTCAGTCAGTAGAACATGAGACTCTTAATCTCAGGATCGTAGGTTTGAGCACCACACTGGGCAAAAGTTTCCTGCATTGCAGGGGGTTAGACTAGATGGCCCTCAGGGTCCCTTCCAACTTTATAATTATGTGATTCTATCCCAGCACTAGGGCTAAATGGATAAAGAGGCTGGCTTGGGACAAAGCAGTTTCCTAAGACATTTCCAAGTAAACTGTATTGAATCCGCAATATGTAGATGACACCCAGCTCTACCTCTCTTTCAAATCAGAACCAGTGAAGGCGGTGAAGGTCCTGTGTGACTGTCTGGAGGCAGTTGAAGGATGGATGGTGGCTAACAGATTGAGGTTGAATCCTGACAAGATAGAAGTACTGTTCTTGGGGGACAGGGGGCAGGCAGCTGTGGAGGACTCCCTGGTCCTGAATGGGGTAACTGTGCCCCTGAAGGACCAGGAGCACAGCCTGGGAGTCATTCTGGACTCACAGCTGTCCATGGAGGCACAGGTCAATTCTGTGTCCAGGGCAGCTGTCCACCAGCTCCATCTGGCACGCAGGCTGAGACCCTACCTGCCCACAGACTGTCTCGCCAGAGTGGTGCATGCTCTAGTTATCTCTCGCTTGGATTACTGCAATGCGCTCTACGTGGGGCTACCTTTAAAGGTGACCCACAAACTACAACTAATCCAGAATGTGGCAGCTAGATTGGTGACTGGGAGTAGCCACCGAGACTACATAACACCGGTCTTGAAAGATCAACATTGGCTCCCAGTACGTTTCCGAGCACAATTCAAAGTGTTGGTGCTGACCTTGGTGCTAAACGGCCTCAGACCAGTATACCTGAAGGAGCATCTCCACCCCATCGTCCAGCCCGGACACTGAGGTCCAGCTCCGAGGGCCTTCTGGCGGTTCCCTCACTGCGAGAAGCCAAGTTACAGGGAACCAAGCAGAGGGCCTTTTCGGTAGTGGCGCCCGCCCTCTGGAACGCCCTCCCACCAGCTGTCAAAGAGAAGAACAACTACCAGAGTTTTAGAAGACATCTGAAGGCAGCCCTGTTTAGGGAAGCTTTTAATGTTTAACAGACCACTGTATTTTAATACTTTGTTAAAGCGGCTGGGGAAACCCAGCCAGATGGGCGGGGATTAAATAATAAATTATTATTATTATTGTTGTTGTTGTTATTCTTATTGTTAATCCATGCAATTGGTTCTGGCCATCACCCCAGTGATGTAGCCACCACACCCGGACATTAGAACCTATTCCAGCCTTTTACAAAAAATAAAAATAAAAATACTTTTACTCAAAACATTCCTGCTTGAAAACGACCCCAGCAAATATTCCAAAGGTCTCGTTCATATTTTCAGACGGCAGCTTCCTCCACCTTCCTTGGCGTTTCCCCCTTATCTGCAGCCTTTTTCTTTTCAGTGATCAAGACATTGTCATCCTTACAGGTAGACTTCTGAGATCCAGGAAGTTCCATTGCAGATTTGCTAACATCGTTCTGCAAGGGTCAAATGTGTTTTCCTTTGGGGCCGCCGTCTGCATGGGGAAATTCCCCTCTGCTTTTAGGATGTAGGAATCGGGGGCTGTCCAGTATCAGCCACGCCAGCAGAACCTCCCTGCTTTGTCTTGTGGTTTCCTGAGAGAGGGCAGGACAATGTTTTGCATCAAAACACTTCCTTGACTGCTGCTTCCAAGCATTTTATGCAGCACTTAAGAAAACTGCTCAGGAACTGTCCCAGTAATCGAGGTCACCCCTGAGGATGGAAAATACCAAGGGAAGCAGAGGCTTACTGGTGTTTTGTAATCATTGCCTACAGAATATTGGCCAAATGTAGGTGGAGGCACAACTGAGACACTCCCAACAACAACCAAAAGCCACTGCTTTCAAAGCAGATCTTTAGAAAGAGGCCCCAACATGCTATTAATCCAAAACCTTGGCTCTCTCTGCCTTTTCTCTGTTTGGATTATATCTTCCTTAGCCAAAGTGTTTGCCTCCTTCCTATACAGAATGGTTCTTCCTATGGTTCTTCCTATACAGAATATTCCCCCAAATGGTCCTACTCAAAGAAGCAAAGATAATTAATAATAATAATAATAATAATAATAATTTTATTATTTATACCCCGCCCACCTGGCTGGGTTTCCCCAGCCACTCTGGGTGGCTTCCAACAGAACACTAAAATACAATAACCTATTAAACATCAAAAGCTTCCCTAAACAGGGCTGCCTGTTCTCACTATTTAGACCTCACTATTTATAGATCTCACTATTTATAGATCTCACTATATTTATAGAGAGATTTATAGATGAGATTTATAGATCTCACTATTTATAGATCTTACTATTTAGTTCCCATAAATAGGGCATGGCAAAGGAGTGTGGCAGGCCATGTCCTCCAATCTAACTATATATACATATATAGATATATATATATATGTAAGTAAATTTTGATTTAGCTGCCTGAAACTCTGGAGGCCAGCTGCCAATCAGTGTAGGAAATACTGACCTAGATGGACCAATGATCCAAATCAATATCAGGAAGCTCCCTATGTTTCCATTTAAACAGATCATTATATAGAACCTTGAGGACTACAATCTTCCTTTCGGGAAAGGAATCAAAGCTCAGTGTATACACTGTGCATGCAAAAAGTCCTGTTTTTTAATCCCCAGCATTTCCAAGTAGGAATGGGAGAGGCCACTGCCTGGAATCCTGGAGAGCTGCTGCCAGTCCGTGTAGGCAATACTGATGGGCTCATGATCTGACTCCATACGGCAGCTTCCTATGTAGCTGAGTTCAACTGGATTTGTTCCTAGTTAAGCTGCTAAAGGAATGAGGTGGGAAGTGAAGAATTTGAGCCTCAGGTGTAAGAAAATATTAGACAAAGTCAGCCAGCCTGCTGCTTACTGCTGGTTCCTTTTTTGTTAATGGAAATAACATCGGCATATTTCCATTCTCCAAAGTAAGTGAGTAGCGATGGGGAAAAGCATGTTTTCATAATCACATGGGATCAGCGGTGGAAACTCAACCATGTGAGGACAGCTCTACTCAGCCTGCGGTGAGGAGCAGAAGCCACAGACTCACTCATTTTGCCTTTCAAGGAAAGAGGGATCTCAGCAACTCAGCTCAAGAGAGGCAGCCTGATCAGGGAAGCTAAGCAAAGAACTACAAGGGGAAGCAAAGAACTACACAGGATCGGGAGGAACGATTAGAACAATGGTGGTATGTCCTTCGCCAGATTCTGTAACTAATGCCTTGAAAGTGGAAAGAAGGACAGGAGCTTTCATTTATTCACTGAAACTGAACGTTTGGAGATCTGGGTCAGACAAAAGGAAGGACTTCTTCACATAGTGGTGACTACTAATTTGGACAGTGGGTTGGCTACATTCATGGACTGCAAGGTTCCCAGCGCCTCCAGGTCTATATAACAGCTCCAGCATCAAAAGTGGTGTGACTCTGAATACCAGTCTTTCTTGTGGTCTTCCTTCCCATAGATATCTGGCCAGCCGTTGTGAGAACAGAAGGCCAGACCAGACAGGTCCTTGCTATGATCCAGTGGGAGTCCTTCTTAGGTTCTCATGAAGTCAAATTAAGGCAGCAACTTCATAATCTGCTCGGTAATAATAATAATAATAATAATAATAATAATAATAATTTATTATTTATACCCAGCCCATCTGGCTGAGTTAACCCAGCCACTCTGGGCGGCTTCCAACTGAATATTAAAAACAATACAACATCAGACATTAAAAACTTCCCTAAACAGGGAAGTTGTCCCTGTTGTCCCTTCAGTTGTCTTTTAAAAGTAAAATAGTTGTTTATTGCCTTGACATCTGCTGGGAGGGTGTTCCACAGGGCGGGTGCCACTACCGAGAAGGTCCTCTGCCTGGTTCCCTGTAACCTGGCTTCTTGCAGTGATGGAATGGCCAGAAGGCCCTCGGCGCTGGACCTCAGTGTCTGGGCTGGATGATGGGGGTGGAGACGCTCCTTCAGGTATACAGGACTGAGGCCGTTTAGGGCTTTAAAGGTTAGCACCAACTTTGAATTGTGCTTGGAAACATTCTGGGAGCCAGTGTGGCGTAAGTGGTTAGGGTGTTGGACTAGGGCAGGCTTCCTCAGACTTGGCCCTCTAGATGTTTGAGACTACAATTCCCATCATCCCTGACCACTGGTCCTGCTAGGAGTTGTAGGCCAAAAACATCTGGAGGGCCGAGTCTGAGGAAGCCTGGACTAGGGCCTGGGAGAGCAAGGTTTGAATCCCCACTCAGCCATGAAGCTCACTTGGAGTCAGTCGCCATCTCTTATCCTAACCTACCTCGCAGGGTTGTTTGTGGGGATGAAATGGGGAGGAGAACAGGGCCGTCTTAAGCATATGTGGCGCTGAGGTGCAAAGATCCGCCCAGCACCTCCCCCCTGGTTGCTCAGTCCCAGGCGCGCAGGAGGGCGCCAGCTGGCTCGGTCACCCCCAAACTTGCGGTGCAGAGCTGCCAGCAACAGAAGAGCCCGCCGGACTCAACTCTTGGCCTGGCACCCCTGAGAACCCGGCAGCCAGGTGCCCCGCACCCCTCATGCCTATGGGTAAGACGGCCCTGGAGGAGAACCTTGGAAGATAAAGGTGGTATATAAAAGAAATAAATGAATAAATAGCACAGGGATGGGGAATCTGAGGCCTTCCAGACCTTGTTGGACTCCAACTCCCCTCATCCCTAACCATTGTTCATGCTGGCTGCGACTGATGGGAATTGGAGTCTATCTCGGAAGGGCTACAGCTTCCCTACCTCTGGTGTAACAGCACGTTGCTAAAGGAGTTCGAAGAAACATATTTGGTGGTTTCCATTCACTACTCAGCATTTTCACTTAGTAATAGACATCTCAAGCCCCCTCCAAGAATTCTTCTTTTCTTTTCCCATCTATATGTTTTGTTTTTTGAATCAGCGGATCATAGAAATCACGTGTCAACTACAGTGGACGCTCGGGTTGCGAACGTGATCCATGCGGGAGACACGTTCGCAACCCGCAGTGTTCGCAACCCGTGCGTGCACAGACGCAGGTTGCGATTCGGCGCTTCTGCGCATGCGCAAAGTGCGATTCAGTGCTTCTGCGTGGTCGCAACCTGAAGCGGCTGTAACCCGAGGTATGACTGTACATCCATTTAGTCACTGCTGAGGCGGGAGGATCTGTCACTGTATCCTTGTTCCTGTCCTGTCTATCCTAGACACAACAGACTGTGTGGCAATTGTTGACAAAGCTAGACTCCCTGCATGCACAGAGTGCCACGCTCCTGCTATTTCATCCTCCTCAGGAAGTAATGAAACTACTTCTTTTTTTCTTCTTCTTTCTTTTCACGGCCAGTTTTACTTCTGCTTTAAAATTAGCCAAAACTGAACAGGCAAAAAGGAGCTGAAAGAGACAGAAAAAGAGAAGCAGCGAAGAGCAGGAGAATATTGTTATGCTCTGCTTTTATCTTCTGATTTATCCTGTTAACTTTCATGAAACCTGCAGGTATAGGGTGGTATATAAATTAAATTAATTAAATTAATTAATTAAATTAATTAATTAAATTGATTAATTAAATTAATTAATTAAATTGATTAATTAAATTAATTAAATTGATTAATTAAATTAATTAAATTAATTAATTAAATTAAAAATTTGTAATATGGTTTGTTTATATAAAGCCTCCCCCCAAATCAGAGTACACAGCAGCAGCAGCAGGTATCAGGTGGAGTTGGAGCTGCTTACCTGACCTTCTAGCTGCTAACCAGGAAGGGGATAGGTGATTTGACCGTGAGACCTGCCTGGTGTCTAGAATCATTAGAGGAGCCCATCTGGGCTTCCTGCTAGTGCATTTGCACTGCTCCCAGTAAGTAGCTGCAATTCACCTGCCAGAAGGTCAGGTAAGTACCTCCTCCCCACCATCAAAGGATGGTGAAAAAGTACTGTACAATAAATGTGACCAGCCAAAAATACATAAAAGCAGCACAATCAGCCAACACTCACAATGACATTCTTGCTCTCACAACACAGAGGCCGCTTTGTAGCATTCAGTCTCTCGTTGGGAAGCTGCATTTACTCACATCAGTACCCCCCCACCCCCAATCTCTCACCTAGGAGCCTGCTAGCCCATCCAAAGATAACCGCCCTCAAAAACCCCAACGGAGGGCATGTAGTTGGTGGTGTGTTAGCCAGGGCATCTGGGTATCACCAGCGCTAATACGCCCAAGAACCTCACCAAAATGCTGGAGAGGATGCACCTCCACAGACACATACCTCCACATGTGGTGGCAATGTCCCAAAATCCAACTCTTCTGGACAGCAATCATACAAGAAATATGCAAAATACTGCTTCTTCTAATTAGCTAAATTAACAGTGAAAATTAGACAACAGGGCGATGAAACATTTCAAAAAGAATGGGAAAAAATTATGTTGTATATAGGAAAGATAAGGTGAAATAATGAAACCAGTAGAACTGAAATAAACCTCATAATGTGAAATACAAAGAAATTTACCGGATAATAAAAATAAAAAGAAGCAAAATGTATAACATGACTAATGTAACTAATAGTAATTGCAAATGAATATAGATAGACAACAAGAATTGTGTAAATAGAAGGATTTATTTGTGTACAAATACTCTATGGACAAATATGGAAGAAGAACAATAATATGCAAAATGGATAACGTCAGATGCGATACAAAAAAGTGGGGACGAGGAAGGAGGGAAGTCAGCTCTCAAGAGCAAGTAGAAATGTAAAATGTAATACAATATATGTGTATGTGGAGTATGTAACTGAAAAACCAATAAAGATGATTTTTTTAAAAAAGAAAGAAATATGCAAAATAACGAAGCAAGTATAAACCTCAAGGGAGCAACCTGTTCTGTTTGGCATCACCCCCAACAGGACTGCACATTGGCAAGGTGAGGAGGGATGTTTCATGATCAATGTGATGCAACAGCATCATGCTCAGCTACAGTTAGGTTCATAGCACTCTTCTAAGCTGTTACAGTGACAGCTGGACAGGAAATACAGCTGGGACTCAGCAGCGCGCACACACACACACCCCAATCCCCAATGATAACTCAGCAATGAAACAGCCCATGCAGGGCTGCACTGGATTGGTCTACTTAGAATTTATTATTATTATTATTATTATTATTATTATTATTATTATTATTTATACCCCACCCTCCCCAGCCAAGGCCAGGCTCAGGGCAGCTTACAAGCAATAATAAAAACAAGCTGAATGATTACAACTTAAAAACAAAAAATACAACATTAAAATAATGAAACATTAAAATGTAGCCTCGTCGCAGGAGGAGAAAGGAAAAGAAAAAAGAAAGAGAGGGAGGGAGGGAATCAAATTGGCTCCAAGCCAAAGGCCAGGCGGAACAACTCTGTCTTACAGGCGCTGCGGAAAGAAATCAGATCCTGCAGGGCCCTGGTCTCATGAGGCAGAGCGTTCCACCAGGCCGGAGCCAGAGTTGAAAAGGCCCTGGCTCTGGTTGAAGCTAATCTAACTTCCTTAGGGCCCGGGACCACTAGGGTGTTGCTATTTATGGACCTTGAGGCTCTCCGTGGGGCATACAGGGAGAGGCGGTCCTGTAGGTACGAGGGTCCTAGGCCGTGAAGGGCTTTAAAGGTCAAAAGCAGCACGTTAAATCTGGCCCTGTACTCCACCGGGAGTCCGTGCAGCTTGAAAAGCACTGGGTGAATATGCTCTCATGGCAGAGACCCTGTGAGGAGCCTCGCTGCAGCATTCTGCACCCGCTGGAGTTTCTGGGACAGCTTCAAGGGCAGCCCTGCGTAGAGCGAATTACAGTAGTCAAGCCTGGAGGTGACCGTCGCATGGATCACTGTGGCTTTACACACCCCTTGCTTTCCTAGGAAGATGCTTCTGCCCACTGGTTCGTGTAGCTCAGCACATTACCCTGCCCAGCAGCGGTTCTCGTGGTGTTTAGGTCTTCTTCTTCCCTCCTTGGAGATGCGATGGCTAAACAAAGGACCCTGCACATTGCAAACCATGCCCTCTGTCACTGAGCAATGTGCTCCTTCCTTCCTTCCATGCTAGAGGCCAACCAGCACTTGACATTTCCCTATGCTTATCAAGCATCTACATAGAGATAGACGGGGAGCATCAGAATAAGCAAGATAAGCAGAAGAAAGCAAGCATGCTTAATCCAACGGTTGAAAGCGTGGGAGAAAAAAGGTACAGCGTGATCCGCTCTAAGGAACATTCCTGCACATCCTTGTCAGTCACCCTACCTGCTTTCCCCCATCACCACCCAACTATAAAGACTTATCCATCGTATTTGTTTTTCTCCAACTGCATGTTGGACTGCCGACCTTACAGGGAACCAGATGTGAGCAGTAAGTAGGAGGAGACACACACACACAGAGAGAGAGAGAGTTTGGAGCAGTGATGGGGAACTTGTGGTCCTCCAGATGTTGCTGGGCTCCAGTTCCCATCATCCTTGGCCAATGATGGCTGGGGCTGATGGGAGTGGGAGATGCACAACATCTGGAGAAACATAGGTTCCCTGATCCTGTGTCTGAGCCTTCCTTGCAAAGGGACTCCCCGCACACATTCAGCGGCCAACAAATCTCTGGGGATTAAGGAAGAGCAATAAGTCTGTGGATGTTTAACCAAGAAACGTCACAGATGCTGATAGTCAAAGGGGAGTGACGTGGGGAAAGCTCTTTTTTTATCAGAAAGGCATTCCTACTGGTATAATCTTAATATTTACGAGCAGATAAAGGTTTCATTTTTGAAATAATAAATTTTCAGAGTAGTTTTTTACAGTTATAACAAAAATTACTGATTTGGTTATATTATTAGAAATACATAGACAGATAATTATGAAATTAGGGTGAGGTTTAATAAGCTAACTGTTTATATTTGGACAACTTTTCTGCTGTACTTTATTGGAAGGAGAAAAATAATCATTTCCTTAATAACAATTTTAACAATTTATTTAACTAAAACAATAACATTATAGCATATGTATCCATGTTTGTTAACTGATGCAGTTAAACTTTTTTTTAAAAAAAACACAAAAAAACCCTTAGACTGATTTTCAGCACACAAGTAAAACTTAAAACAAATCCTTATTTCCTGATGGCCTTTGGACTATAATGTAACTTAAATAGAAAACTATCTTTAGAAATATATTTTCCTCCAAAAGCATTTTATTTTAAAAATTCAATCTAAATTTAAAAAAAGTGATTTAAATTTAAAAAATTGATTTAAATTAAAAAAAATCGATTTAAATTAAAAAATCTGATTTAAATAAAAAATATGATTTTTTATTTTTTAAAAAAATCCTTGATTTTTATCCACCCTGCCCTCAGCTCACTTCTGCACTCACAAAATATTCCTCTTCTCCTCCAGCATTATTTGCAAAAATCATGATGCATAACATAATTCCACCCCGCCCCCAATGCTTCTTGATTGCGACTCATCAAGAGCCCAGCTTCAGTATGAACATGGAAACTTATCCAGCTATGATTATTTCTTTGGAAGCCTGTGATTCAGTGAGGCGCCATCTATGGAAACGGCTTCGTCAGACACTGAGTTACAGGCAGGGGTGGGGGGGAAATCTGATTTAGTTCACATTTTAATGGTAACCTATCTAAATGGCCTGCAGACCTCCAGATGTCAGGGAACTTGCATCAGCCCCAGCCAACAAGGTGGTCAGTAGTCAGGGATGATGGGAGCTGCAGCCTGGAGGGCAGAAGAAGAAGAAGAAGAAGAATTTGGATTTGATATCCCACTTTATCGCTACCCTGAGGAGTCTCAAAAAAGGGACGTGGGTGGCGCTGTGGGTTAAAACACAGAGCCTAGGGCTTGCCAATCAGAAGGTCGGCAGTTCAAATCCCCGCGATAGGGTGAGCTCCCGTTGCTCGGTCCCTGCTCCTGCCAACCTAGCAGTTCGAAAGCTCGTCAAAGTGCAAGTAGATAAATAGGTACCGCTCCGGTGGGAAGATAAGCAATGTTTCTGTGTGCTACTCTGGTTCGCCAGAAGTGGCTTAGTCATGCTGGCCACATGACCCGGAAGCTGTACGCCGGCTCCCTCGGCCAGTAAAGCAAGATGAGCGCCGCAACCCCAGAGTCATCCGAGACTGGACCTAACGGTCAGGGGTCCCTTTACCCTTTACCTTTAAGGAGTCTCAAAGCGGCTAACATTCTCCTTTCCCTTCCTCCCCCACAACAAACACTCTGTGAGGCGAGTGAGGCTGAGAGACTTCAGAGAAGTGTGACTGGCCCAAGGTCACCCAGCAGCTGCATGTGGAGGAGCGGGGATGCAAACCCGGTTCCCCAGATTACGAGTCCACCGCTCTTAACCACTACACCACCCCTGGTTTAAGCAAACAAAATAAGTAAGTTTTCCTAACAGAAACACTTTCCCCAAGCTGCTGTGAGCCACAGTATGGGGTTTGTTTGCTTGTTTGTAAAACAACAACCCAGGTACAATCTGGATAGCTGCCTTTTTGTCCTCCACAGCTAATACGACCTTCAGAGGAGGAGGAAATCAAAGTGAGGACTATCACAGGGAGAGTTAATCTCCCCTCCTCTAGCAGCAAATCCCCAAATCCAATGCCACCTCTCCCAAGTCCCGGAGGTTGCTTTTAAAGAAAAGAGAAGCCACTGCAGATCTAATGATGGACCGACCCCAACATCACGTCTAGTTTAGGCACAATGTTCTTAGGACCTTGAGTGAACAGGTCTGCTGTGAGCAGGTGCCTTTTAAAGTCATCCCCGGATGACAGGTTGCACCTACCAAGCCACAAACCCTCTCCTGTACAAAACGAAACCTCTTGTGTACCCAGCTGCTAAAAGGAAGGAGGCCTGTCCTCTATTGTGCCTGCTTCCTTATAGGTAGTGGCATAATTAGACTCATAATTAGGCAGATGAGTGGGCCCTTAAGCAACCAAGCTAACTGCGTCACACTCAAGGCTTCCCTCCCTCTAATTAGAGCAGTAGGTTAATGGGAAGATGCAAAGCAGGTCAGGTCTCCAAGGAGCCAAAGCCCAGGATAATTGAGACGATCTGGACTGGGGAAAGCAAAGGTGGTCATACATGACAAACAGAAGAGAAATAGAGCCAGGCTAGTCGGTCACCAAGGGACTCGGGTGGCGCTGTGGGTTAAACCACAGAGCCTAGGACTTGCCAATCAGAAGGTCGGTGGTTCAAATCCCTGCGACGGGGTGACCTCCCGTTGCTCAGTCCCTGCTCCTGCCAACCTAGCAGTTCAAAAGCACACAGTGCAAGTAGATAAATAGGTACCACTCCGGCGGGAAGGTAAACAGCGTTTCTGTGCACTGCTCTGGTTCGCCAGAAGCGGCTTAGTCATGCTGGCCACATGACCCAGAAGCTGTACGCCGGCTCCCTCAGCCAATAAGCGAGATGAGCACCGCAACCCCAGAATCGTCTGCGACTGGACCTTACGGTCAGGGGTCCCTTTACCTTTACCTTTAGTCGGTCACCAAAGCTACTGGTCCATTTCATTCCTCCGCATTAAAGTAAGTTCTTTATTTCTCATGTACAATTGGAGAAATCCTCTGGTGGTGAACCCAACTCTGAGCAACCATTGCCTATCTGAGCCTTTATCCAGCTGCTTCAAAACAGAGATGAGAAATGTTATTTCAGTCCAAGGGCCAAAGGGCAATGGCAGGAGGAGCTGGAGGCAAATGTGGGCAGACCAATGCATGTATATTTTTACCTTTGTGCAGTAGTGTAGTTTACACACACACACACAACCTCCCTGTCCTCCGTGAAGAGCAAGAGGCAATATGGGGGGTTAAGGACACATTCCAGCCAGGCCAACGCATTGGGGATGCAATGAAGGCTTTGCCCTGAAGGCTGCCCTCGGTCCCTGGATCTGAATCCCACCACCACCGCTTTAAAATGAACCAACTGGTCATCCGGAGGATGTCCTAACAAATCACTTTAAAGGATTCCGAAACGAAGGAGTGGCAGACAAGGAAGAGAGCGGCCGGCCGCAATGTGTACAGGCAAAGAATGCCAGAAGGAAACAAAGTCTTGGAAAGCGCTGCTTGGCAAGGAAGAGGTCATGGCAGAAAACATCTGCAAGATGATCTTCATTACCTGGGGGGAGGAACGTGTGTGGTTGCGTGCATGTGCTAATAATGCATTTGGACTTTGTGGAATTCTGTGTTTGTTAGTTCTCTGCCCGTCTGCCTTTAGACATCAGAATAAAGCAAACAGTGGCTACTGGGCATGATGGCAATGTGCTCTTTCCAGGACTGGGGCATAAACCATGCTTCTGAATAACCACAGTAGAATCCAAGGTCAAGGACCCCTGGATGGTTAGATCCAGTCAAAGGTGACTATGGGGTTGTGGCGCTCATCTCGCTTTCATGCCGAGGGAGCTGGCGTTTGTCCACAGACAGCTTTCCAGGTCATGTGGCCAGCAGGACTAAACCACTTCCGGCACAATAGAACACCATGACAGAAACCAGAGCGCACAGAAGCACCATTTACCTTCCTGTTGCAGTGGTATCTATTTATCTACTTGCACTGGCATGCTTTCGAACTGCTAGGTTGGCAGGAGCTGGGACAAAGCAACGGGAGCTCGCCCCGTCCTGGGGATTCAAACCGCCGATGTTCTGATCGGCAAGCCCAAGAGGCTCAGAGGTTTCGACCACAGCGCCACCCGCATACTTCCAAGTACTTCCCTTAGCAGAAGGATTCCCACTGGCATGGTGGAGAATGGAACTTCCTCTCTCTCTCTCTATCCTTCCTCTCTGCACACCATCTCCAAATCTGCTCTGCTCCAGAGGGGTAGGGGGTAACCCCAGAACAGATTTAAGGGGTGCAGGGGATGGGGAAGGGAAGTCTTGCTGCAGAGACAAAAGTCCTTGCACTAGCTGAACTCCTTTTCTTGGCTACTGCCCTCAGCTGCCGGGGAGCACTAGCAGGGCAGAGCTATTGCTCTCATGTCCTGCCCCTAGGGTTTGTATAAATGTCTGGTTGGCCACTATAGAAAACAGTATCATGAGCTAAATGGGCTTTTCGTCTGATGCAAGAGGCCTCTTCTGACATTTTTTACTTGAATATGCCTTTGGCCTAGCTTGTAAAGTTTTGTTTTAGTTGTCTTCTTCAGGATTGAATGAATGAATGAATGAATTTATTAATACGGTCACAGACTAGCGTCAACACACACAATATCACAGATCATAAAAAAAAAATAAATTCAGAAATACAGAGGACAATATGAATATAACAAGGACTTAAATATAAAAAATTAAAATTAATTATTAGCGTGCCCCCTGTAATTAACATTTGGGGGTTTGGTCATTATGGGGTACCACTTGCTTCCTGCGATTAATTGCGGACGCACAGAATTTGGCTACATTTAATGTAGTCTTGGGATTCTTGTCCTCTAGCAGTAGTTTTAAACTATGGTGTTCCGATTCTTTCCTGGACTTTTGCAAAACAGGTGTACTAAAAGTCAAACGTATATCCTCATAAAGACGACAATGTAATAGTACATGCGAAGCAGTTTCAACTTCCAGCGAGCCACAAGGGCAGACCCGTGCTGTATATGGTTTACCCTCAAATCTTCAGGATTTTGTTTTTGTTTTTCTTACTTCCCTCTAGAATTTTTGCTTGAATTGCATTTTTTTCCTTTTCTTCTCAAGAGTTGCCTTCCTTCACATAAGCTTGATTGGCAATTTCACTTGCCATCGGAGGCCCTGCGAAAGATTTTCTGCTGCCAGAACCATGGCGGGGGAAGCACCCAAGATTTGGAATAGCTTTACTTTTGCAAAGGCAGCAAAGAATGATTTACTGAAGGGAGTCTTTGACTGATACTCCCTCTTAACTTGATTGTTTCTACCTTTTTAAAAGAAAGAATCATTTAGTGTTGGTGGGGGATGAGCAATAGGCACTCACTCCATCGGGGGGGATTTGAACCGCCGACCTTCCGATCAACAAGCCCAAGAGGCTCAGTGGTTTAGATCACAGTGCCACCTGCATCCCCTCACTAGCCACTATGAGGAAAGGATGCCAGATTAGATGGGTCACTGGCCTGACCCAACAAGCTCTTCTTATATTCTTGACTATCATGAAGACTGCTGGAATCAACCACAAGAATAATTCAGGGCATGGGCGGCTGCTTTTACATTGCTGAACAAGAGGGGAAAGAGGGCACTGATTTCCACGTGCTAATGTATACATATAGATGCAAATTTAGAGAGGAATAATCTGAATCAAAAAGCAGGGGAGGCTGGGATTAGGTGATCCATGTGTCTGCTCAGTCTGGTGTCCAGCTGCTGGTTGTGGATAAGCAATTTAAAGGGCCCGTCCTCCTTGTGATGTGTTATCTTTAAACCAGATGAGATAAAGGTAAAGGGACCCCTGACCATTAGGTCCAGTTGTGACCGACTCTGGGGTTGCGACGCTCATCTCGCTTTATTGGCCGAGGGAGCCGGCATACAGCTTCTGGGTCATGTGGCCAGCATGACTAAGCCGCTTCTGGCGAACCAGAGCAGCGCACACAGAAACGCTGTTTACCTTCCCGTCGGAGTGGTACCTATTTATCTACTTGCACTTTGACGTGCTTTCAAACTGCTAGGTTGGCAGGAGCAGGGACTGAGCAACGGGAGCTCACTCTGTTGCAGGGATTCGAACCGCCGACCTTCTGATCGGCAAGTCCTAGGCTCTGTTGTTTAACACACAGCGCCACCCGCAAACCAGATGAGGACCTGATGACAATTCAAATAGAGGACTTCCCTCTAACAGCCCTTCAGATAAATGTAAAGGACTATCCTCTGTAAGTAAGGCACAGGGCCACCCCAACTGGGGACTAGCATTCGAAAGCAACACAAGCACAACTTGCTCTCTTGCAGATTAGCGTGCAACCCCCCCCCCCACAGAAAAACAGTGTCTAGTATGGAATGGATGGAGTCGAGTGTGTTTCACCTGCAGAGATTCGTTCACAAATGCAAGTTACTGCTTTGACCCTGCAAGCATCAAGAAATGAATATCCACGTAGAAATTAGAAGAAAGCTACGTACGGTACTTACAAAAAAGCAAAAACCCAAAAGGATGCAAAATGCCTTGCCTAGTCCCAAAGTGTTCTGCTTGTGTATATTCATTGGAAGCTTATTCTATTCATTTTGTAAGACGGCGCTGCAGTGAGATGACCTGATTACTGAACAATGGCATACAGAAACATGTGGGGGTGGAACTATTCAGTGTTGCAAACACACGACTGAAAACTGAATCATGTGGGTCACACAGTGTAGCAATTGGACCTCAAAAGATCGAAGTGTAATTTCTGCTAGGAAATGTCTGCAACTGCTTCCCAAGAAAGGCAGTATAACCCCTGCGGTTGGAGTAATTAAACTGAGATTTAGATAGTCTCTTGCAGGTGATGTGATATCCTCTTAAGATTAAGTGAAGCCAGGTAAACACAAGAGCCTCTTCCAGCCCCATGCAATCAGCCTGAACTTATTTTCCTTTCAACACCTGCGTGAATGAGATAAAATGTAGCTGATTCAAGCACAGCAGGCAAAGTTTACTTTGCATCAGCTCCTTCAGTTCTGGGCCCAACTTAAAGTGGTGATGGTTCAAAGCTCTAAACCAGGAACAGAGAACCTGTGGCTCTCCAGATGTGGCTGGACTCTTAACTTCCATTAGCCCCAGTCAGCATTACCAGTGGTTGGTGATGAAAGTGAGTTGTAGTCCAACAACATCAGGACAACCGCAGGTTCCCCTACCCTGCCTTAAAATACTTGAAGGACTATTTGTATAAACCTGCCCGAGTCTTAGGCTTAGCCTCTGAGGCCCTGTTTGTTGGTTTGACATCAAGAAGCATTATAATGGCTGCCACAGAAGACAGGGCCTTTTTCGTGATTGCCCCATGCCCATGGAACTCCCTGCTTAAGATTTTTTTTAAAAAAAACCCAAACTGCTTTAAATTCATTTTTATGTTGGTATTTTTCTCTTCCCAATTTTTTCTGTTTGCTTTTACACTTGTATTATTTGAGTCTACTGATAATTGTTTTTTATAATATTGCTTTGAGGATTGTTAGGTTTGTTGATGTGTTTTTTTATTGTTATGTTTTTATTACTTCGATTGTTTTTAACATGCTGGGAGCTACCGTGATAGGGGGAACCTCAAAAGGCCATCTATAAATACGGAAAATAAATTACGAAAAAGTGAAAATGCAAGCCCTGGGTACTCTATATAAACTAGCAATGAGAGGCTTTGACAAAGTACTTCTGAAACCAGCAAGAAGCTGATACAACAAGGACCAATCTGCAAAATGATAACTTTGAAGTGTGACTGGATGGCGTAACAGCAGCATACCGCTCAGTTTTAAGGCTCAGTTTTAAGAATAATTTAGGATTGTGAATCTAAATGCTTCCAAGATTAACTATGTCACAACTCTGGGCTGGTTCCAAGGCTACGTTTTGCATCTACTTTAGAAAAATTCCTGTGGAGGAATATCTGGAAAAATGTTGCAGAAGAATGGAAATCCCATTTGGATTGCAAATGGAAAACCCTCGTGCAGAAGTCTTCCAGATTTTAGTATCTTGATAGTAGATCTTTCCTACAAAAGCCAGTCTAACATGCTGAGGTACCTGGGATTTGTTAGACTACAACTCCCATCCCTGCATAGCCATTGGTCAGGGATGATGGGAGTTATAGTCCAGCAACATCTGGGGGGCCACAGGTTTCCTATCTCTCTGCCCACAAATCATTTATATTTATTTATACCCCAGGGAGCTCAAGGCAGCATACAGGATGTTCCTTCTTCCAACCACCTTGTGAGGCAGGTGAGCCTTAGAGGCTGTAACTCATCCACTTTAGCAGCCCACTTTACAGAACAAATAAATGTGCCACCAAGTGCACTGCAACCTTGCTTTCAGCACTGTGGCACCAGTTCTCCAAAATTCTTTTTCTAGAAAGAATGCAAGCCTCAACATTATGTTTTTGCTGTTGGTTGAAAACACTTCTTTCCCCTCAAACCGCCCCAAGTTATTAGTCCATTTTATTCCTGCAGTTTTTAATTCCTGCCAGTTTCATGTTCTTAACATAATGTTCTTAACGTTATATTCTATTTTCTTACACTGTGTTCTCTCTCTCTCTCTCTCTACACACACACTTAATGCAGAGCTGTTCAAATTCTGGAAGGAACAAAATACAGTAAAAACAGACAGGTAAACCTTATCGCCAGGATCTGCCCGTGCATTGCCACTCTGTGAGGGGTAAACAGCAGCACCCAGAATTCTTTTGAGGGAAAAGAGAGGCTTGTGTGTCTGCAAATGAACCCAGCCAGGCCCCATCTCGCTCGCTATTGTCTGCACCGCCTGTCCTTTCCAACGCTACCTGGAGATGCTGGCGCTGAACCCTGAAGCCTTTTTGCATGCAGGGCACGTGCTGCGCGCCGCTGAGCTGCAGCCAGCCAGAAGCCTCTCTGCGGCATTTCTCTACACACAGCTGGGCTTTGTTTCTCTGAGTCAGCGTGCTCTTTTTCCCACCAGTTAGAGATAAACCACCACCGCCGCCACACACACACAAAGGAAAAAGAAAAGAAAGAAAGCAAAAACCAAACCCTTGAATCAGGAGGAGGATGCAGCAAACACTCTTCCCCCCTCTCCAGGCCGGCTCGATTCCAAGCCTAAAGCCAGATTCCCAAACCCATGCAGCGGGGGGGGGGGGTTGTCACCCCAGCTGCAAAATAAAGCCTTCTCTTTCTCCACCCTCCGTCGCTGAGCCAATGGAGGGAGGCGAGAGAGAATCAGGGAAAGCGCCCTCGCCAGCGCCGACAGGCGACCTCTCCAAACCGAGCTTAGGCGCGGCGCGGCGCGGCGCCGGCCCCGAGGGCGCCCCAAGCAGCAGCCAGCCCGGCAAGGCGAGGCCCGGATTGCCCTTTCTTACCAGCTGTCCCTGGAGAAGGAGCGCAGGAAGCGGATCCCGGGCGCGGGGATGGCTCTCATGGCGAGCGGTCTCGGCGAGGGCGCACAGCGCGGCGACGGACGCGAAGCAGGACCCGGTCGAGGAGCGCGCAATCGTCTCTCTCCGGGCGAGATGGATCAGGCCGGGCGTCTGCTTCGGGCCGGCGGCGGAGATGGTGGCGGAAGCTGGCGCTGCTCCGGGCCCGGCGCCCGCTGGCATTTAAATGCCCCGCTGGAGCCCGGGCATCGGGCACATGATGCCCGTGATTCAGGCAGCCTCCCCGCCCCGGCGCGGGCAGGGCTAAGCGGGAGAAGGAAGAGGCCGCCCCGGCAGCCCCTCCCCTGGCTCCGGCCGGCCCGGAATCACATGCTGCGCGCCCGAGCGCAGAGCCAAGGCGGGGAGGCGGCAACTGCGCCCCCGGGAATGGCTGTCAGGTTTTCACGCTGCTGGGATGCTTTTGAGCACCACCAGCCGCCTTGCCTCGGAAAAGGGAAAGCCTTTTTTGGTGTTGTCCTCAGCGTCAGAAATCGACGCTGGCAACTTTTATTCCTTGCTTCATTTGCTAAGCAATCTAATTTTGCCTGCAGCGCAACACGCTTTTTCTCGTTTTGTTTGCTTAGGAATTTGTTCATAGGATCATAGAATTGGAGAGTTGGAAGGAAGTCGAACCGCCTTCAATGCAGGCAACGCAGCTAAAGAATCCCTGACAGATGGTAGTGCCAGACCTTGTTGTTTAGTCTCCCACTGCCTCCCGCAGTTTGGTCAAACTCATGTTCGTAGCTTCAAGAACACTGTCCAACCATCTCGTCCTCTGTCGTCCCCTTCTCCTTGTGCCCTCAATCTTTCCCAGCATCAGGGTCTTTCCAGGGTCTTCTCATGAGGTGGCCAAAGTACTGCAGCTTCACGATCTGTCCTTCCAGTGAGCACTCAGGGCTGATTTCCTTAAGAATTGATAGGTTTGGTCTTCTCGCAGTCCATGGGACTCTCAAGGGTCTCCTCCAGCACCATAATTCAAAAGCTTAGCAATCTCGAATTTCAGTGGTGCCCTGGGCAATGCAAATGTCCGGTGCCTCCCCACCTCCTTCTCACGCTCCATTGGACTTCATAGTTGCGGTGCTTGCTGCAGCACCCCAGAAGATCTCCACCCAGGGTGACCGAATTGGTTATGCTCCCCTAGATCCACTTTTGCAGATGACCACCCAAACTCCAATGAAGGAGAACCCACCACTTCTTGAAGGAGCCCATTTCACTGGGGAACGGCTCTTTCTGAGCCTCTCTGGGGAGAGCATTCCACAGATGGGAAGCCACCAAGGCTTGTTCTCATGTTGTCAAACTTGGAACCTCTCAAGGAATGGAGAGCCTCGGATGCCAAGCACAGGGTCTGGGTGATTTGAGGTACCAAGCAGTGTAATGCTGCTGTTTGATGCGTTGTTTTTCAAACCATCTCCACACCCATTGGAGGGTTGCCATTTTTGAAGAGCAGAAAAGAGGACACATTTGCTGACTTTTACTTTTAATAAACACACAAGACGTAACTGGCTGTACTTTTGGGAAAATAATATATACTATTCATTGTATTGAATCAGTTTATGCATAAGGTCCATATATGTGAAACTACTATGTGAGACTACTATGCTATAAGATCCACTGTCCTGTGATATCATATATGAGTCTGTACTACCGATGAAGCCTAGGACGGCGAAACAAGGCTAATATTCCGGAAATCCTTGTCTTAGACTCTGTGAAAGGATTCTGTGGAACTGCAACAACCTTTTGTGTGGATTGCTGGACTCTATGAACAGACAGGTGGAATAGACACTTTCGCATATATGGACTTTATGCATAAACTGATTAGAGAATGAACTGATCCACTAGGTCTTCTACTTTCTTTGTTGAACTTTATGAACGACTTCTGTTGAAATCTACAATTTAATACAATGAATATATTATTTTTTCAAACACACAGCCAGTTATGTCTTGTGTGTTTATTAAATATGTTTCACGTAACCAGAGATTTGTTGTTGTTTTGCGACTTTTACTTTTAACCATCAATCGCTATGACGACTCTCATTTTCCATACCCACGAGAAAGAGGACACATGGCAACCCATCTCTAGCCAATAGGTGAAGAGCTTTGCACAAGCTAAAAGCATCCTTGCCTGTCAGACCCCCTGGTGTGCATACAAACAGAAACAATTCTGACATGTTTATTTTATTTTAATTAATTAATTTATTAAATTTGTATACCACCCTATACCCATAGATTTCAGGGCAGTTCACAAGATATGATTACAATATTAAAAACCACCAAACACATAATAAAAAATAAGAACAAAAAAACCCCAAACCAATAACCCCTCTCCCCTTCCGCAACACATTTAAGAGAGCATTGGATGTCAATCGGCCAAAGGCCTGGTTAAAGAGGAACGTTTTTGCCTGGCACCTCAATGTGTATAATGAAGGCACCAGGTGAACCTCCCTGGGGAGAGCATTCCACAAATGGAGCCACCACAGAAAAGGCCCGTTCTCATGTTGGCATCCTCTGGACCTCTTGTGGAGGAGGCACACAAAGATGATGATCTCAGGGTCCAGGTAGGTTGCTATGGAGAGAGGCAGTCCTTGAAGACATGTTTATGAAAACAGCTAGGAAAAAGCTGTGAAACACATGGGGGGCAACTTTACTGTGTTCTAGTGTGAGCACATTCTTATTATTTCACCCAGAAACACAAACAGAAGGCTAGGAGGTAAAAATTCCCACAAGTACAGAGCAATGTCATGTCTCCCCATGGCTACCCCCAAGGGCCTGGTGCCAATGCTGATGTCTTTTCCACACCAGACCAAGACTTTTCTTTGCATCTGAATGCTACTCCTCTTCTTATCTCTCTCCTGTTGTGGCTGCTTTTGGTTCAGTCTGCTATTTTATATAGCAATCACTTCTTTCATGCGAGCTTGGGTTGAGGTTTGAGGTTTACATTTGAGGTTTGAATGTGTGGTCGTTTTTAGTTAACTGTTGATGTGTGGGGTTAATACTGACTTGTCTGTTAAGTACTTGTCCTTGAGACCTTCAGGTTAAATAATAATAATAATAATACTAATAATTTTTTATTTATACCCCGCCCTTCCCGGTTCAGAAAACCGGGCTCAGGGCGGCTAACAACAAATTTAAAACACTTAATTGATGCAACAAAAAACAGCATAAATACAGTATAAAACGTGAATAACAATAAATTCAGAATTCAAAAATCAATTTAGGGGGGAAATCCATCCAATAAACATTAGATAATGAAGCAGCAGCAACAACAGAATTGCATTCCATTCGCATTTAACTCTAATCTCCTCTTCCTTGCCTCTTTACACCATTCACTTGACAAATGAGGATCATATACCCTGCAAGATGAACTGAGCATTAGTCTATAAAAACTTATGCCGTAATGCATTTTAAGGTAACACAAGACTCTTTCTTGTTTTTGCTGCAAATAACTAAATACCATACAGCCAACCCTCTGGGATATATGTATAGTGGTAGCTCGGGTTACATACACTTCAGGTTACAGACGCTTCAGGTTACAGACGCTTCAGGTTACAGACTCCACTAACCCATAAATAGTACCTCGGGTTAAGAACTTTGCTTCAGGATGAGAACAGAAATCGTGCGGCAACAGCAGGAGGCCCCATTAGCTAAAGTGGTGCTTCAGGTTAAGAACAGTTTCAGGTTAAGAACGGACCTCCAGAACAAATTAAGTACTTAACCCGAGGCACCACTGTAGTTTGTATTCCTAAGAACATAGGAAACAGCCTTATGCCAAGTCAGACCCACTGGCCAATTTAGTTTCCCATCCCTACCTAGATATGCCAGGAATTTGGCATCCAATGTCAAAATCCAGCATCGCCTGAGCTCTGCGAGTTCAGCTTTCTCCCACTTGAAGTGCAGAGTGTTTGAGGTCCGGGACATTCACAGGGAAACCAAAATGCTTGTTTACAAAGTTATTGTACTACCAACCATACTGTATGCTTGTGAAACACGGACCACTTATAAACGCCATCTCCTCCTCGAAAGATTCCATCAACAGTGTCTCTGAAAAGTTTTACACATCACTTGGGAAGACAGGCGAACTAATGCCAGTGTACTGGAAGAAGCAAAGATCACCAGTGTCGAAGCAATGATTCTTCAACATCAACTTCATTGGACTGGTCATGTTGTGCGGCTGCCTGATCATCGTCTTCCAAAGTAACTACTCTATTCCAAACTTTAAAAATGGAAAGTGTAATGCTGGTGGTCAACAAAAGAGGTTTAAAGACTCCCAAGGCAAATCTAAAAAAATGTAGTATAAACACAGACAACTGGGAAACACTGGCCTGCAAGTGCTCCAATTGGAGAACAGCCTCTACCAAAGGTGTCACGGGCTTTGAAGAGGCTTGAACTCCGGACAAAAGGGAGAAATGTGCTAAGAGGAAAGCATGCTTGGTAAACCCTCACCATGATCTACTACAGCCCGGAAACCTATGTCCCCACTATGGAAGGACGCGTGGATTCAGAATTAGCCTTGGCTCACTGTTAAAACCGTGTTCATGGAGGACAATCTTACTTGGCTATGAGATTGCCAAATAAGAAGATGCCAGGAATTCAACCTGGGACCCTTCTGCGTGCAAGGCAGATAGAGGGTCTACTACTGAGCTCTGACCCTTCCCTACTTTTCAGCCTTGCATAGAAATGCCTCCTGATTTCATGGACTAGGCAGCCCTCAAACCCAGGATTTCAGAAATATAAAACAAATTATAGTCACAGAAATAGTGTATGTATGCATGCATGTATATATGAAGACCACTATAAAATCAGCAGTAAAATATATTTGCAAATATAATGCATTGTGCAAATGCCAAGTGACAACTTATTTTACTGATTTATTATTATAATAAGCAATGCATAACACTCAAGCAAATAATTCCTGATTCACAATGCTGTCATATCAGAATATTGTAATTATTTGCTGGCCTTACCTCCCCACCCCCATAATGATAGACATGAATTTAAGAATTCTTTGTTCTAGATTCAGAGATCCATAATAGTTCATCCAACTTTATATCCCCGAAAATGAATGTCACTGGAGCTGCTGTAATTTATGTGCAGCTTTGGGAGATAGCCATGCTGCCGCCACCCATCTTGAACCCTTTTTTGGAAAGAAATGCTTTGTTATTCTATTTCTTTTCCAGTATTTATATCCTTAATTCACATGCTTCTTCCAGTGTCCTGACATCTTCTCTGTTATACCAATAGACACTCTATTTGAATCTTGATAACATTATCCAAAGATAAAACGCATGCTCTCCATTCTGTTCTTGGTAAGCTATCTGCAAATATTTGTCCTGTTCTGTAGGAAGGTGGGAATAAAGGACAGTATTGCTCTGTGGCCACCTTGGAGGACCTGCAGCTGGAGCTGAAAGAAGTTTATGCTGCTGCACAGAGATCACCAAACACCATATCCGTGTTTTGAATGGTGGTACCCCATTTTGATCATCAGTATGGATGGTGAAGACAATGGAGGAGATTTGGTATGTCTTATATTTGTTAGCACTCAGTAGGGTGACCATGCACCCGGCTTTATAGATAGCATTGTTTAAAGAGTGTTGGAGAACAGTCCCGCTTGGACTACTGCAATGCACTCTATGTGGGCTACCTTTGAATGTGACCCAGAAACTACAACTAATCTAGACTGCTAGACTGGTGACTGGGAGTGGCCACCAGGACCATGTAACACTGGTCCTGAAAGACCTGCAGTGGCTCCCAGTATGTTTCTGAGCACAATTCAAAGTGTTGGTGCTGACCTTTAAAGCCCAAAATGGCCTCAGCCCAGTATACCTGAAGGAGCGTCTCCACCCCCATCGTTCAGCCCGGACATTGAGGTCCAGCTCCGAGGGAACCAAGGAACCAGGCAGAGGAC